GCACCGTAATCGCTCGGGACTTTATTACATAATCATATGGGAACCTTCAACCACACATTCCCGAAAAAATTGGAACTTCACGAATTATTTTTTCTATGTGCCGTTTTTTGGCATACAAATAAATGACTTGACTAAGTGCGAAAATTTTAGATTGGAATTAAGAAAACAATTGAACACTGTACCGTATCGACAGTATCCGCGACTTTTCCTTCACCTACCGATCACGATGTGTGCGACACCGTTGCCTTTTCGCTTAACCAAAAGTAAGTGGACAGTTTGAAAGCCGAGCAAATTAACTGAAAACAAAACGCACACGTGTGTGAGGCTTTCTCATAAAGATTCACTCATTAGAGAATAATACGTACACGTACTTTTTGCCTTTTAGTTATTGTGGATACATAAGGAATGCCTCTTGGCATCTCAATGAGAATCGTCGGAAAAATGCCTCGTGTGCTTTCAACGCTTATTATATGTAAGTATAGATCATCGTTGCGCATCCCTTTGGTATTTCAAATCCCACTAGATGAGGTAGTAAAAATGGTGCCGCTTTACCACTTTACAAATTAAACAGATGCCATAAATTTATAATGAAGTGCAACATAGAATGGGAAAGTAGTTGCGACATTAGTGCGCAGAAATTTTACTTTCTATAGTTAAATAATTTTGTTACATTGTACTTAACATATTATCATTTGGACAATAGTTATTTACATAAAAGTCAGGAAAATGGCACATTACTGGGAGGTATTGTGAATTTTAATTTCCGACTCATCATTTTACTGATGAGTTTTGTAAGTAATTTTTACCGAAATTGTCTTTTTTAACGTAAAATTTCAATTTTCATGTAGAACTGGTAAAGTGACAGGTGGCAGGAAAAGTGTTACCTACTGCCACCGTCATGGAATAGTTATTTACATAATAAGTCATGAAAGTGGTCGTTTACATGACGCGGGGGCCTATTGAAAAGTACGAGGACGCGCAGCGTCCGAGTATCTCTTTCATGCCTCCAAGTCAGGTGGACTCACTTTCATGACGTATTATCTATAAAATTTTACCTGAAACCGTTAAACTATTTATGTGTGAAATTTTGATACCTAATCACGCATGCTAAAACACTTTATTTAATTGTTTCCATAGAGATTTCAAAATAATTAAAACAATCAGCATCATTTTTAATGCAGTTTGCCGTTTATGCTTTGTACTTTTCAACTATACAGCAGGTATCAGTGAAGGAGAGTACCTACGCGAGGCGTTATAATGTAGCTGGAGCTGCGGCCGCCGTAGTGCAATATTCGCTCCCCACAAAGTCAAGAAAGAGGTACGAAAAGGCGTAGAAACCTTTTAATGACTGCGCAAAACTAAAGGAATAATTACTTCCACACATATTCCATTAATTATTAGTAATTAAAAAACCATTATCCTTTATGTAGGTATATTAATATTTAAAAATATCCACAGTCTGCGTTATAATTATCCAATCGTTGATTGAACACCTTATTCAATGAACGATCTAAATCTAATTGTTATTTTGCATGTACTAGGACTGTAATGGGAGTCAGGCAAAAATATTACAGTACTAGTCAGGTAAAGATCCACTTTCTAATGTCAAAATAGCCCTGAAATTTAGATTTTCTTGACGGTTTCAGGTAAACTAAAATTTCCTGACATAAAGTAGGCATGAAAGTGAATGTTTCATGACGATTTCGGGAAAATTTTATTTCCCGGTGAGAAACTGGAATTTGGTTTTGGAAAGGACCAAATCCCCAATTTTTTTAAGCGTCCAGCGTGGTCCATAAGCAGTATTTTACTTGTCTGGTAATAAAAATTTGCAAGTAACGAGGTGTGGGAAAATCCGCGGCAAAGTGATAAACATGTTTACTAATTTGATGTTAACCAGTATTTCTAGGCGAAAGTGATCTGACCTGCTTAGAACCCGCACATCTCCTTAAATAGTTCCACTCTTATTGACACTTCAGTTCTCAAAATTTCTTTCAGTAACACGTCCTCTATGTCTCTATGCAATAATCGACTAATAGTTAATATGGAATACATAAACTGATTATTGAAATTCCATTAATTATACAAGTATTCCCATGTCTTGATTTCAAAATTGGCTTGCAATCAATTCAAAACAAATACATGTTCAACCACGTCATCCTTCAGAAAGCTACTTCATTGTCGACTGCAATAAACGAATCTCAAAATTTCTTACAGTTTGAATCTTCCATTAATACCCACTCTAAAACTGAATAGAGGTCGCAGATTAAGATCATCACCGAGGTCTTCACAGGGCACTGGATGGTCCAAATATCACCTGAACAACATTGAGAAGAAGACTGTCCACTGTGACGCCTTGGTCAGAGACAGACATCAGCTCCTTGGCAACAGTTTTCTGTCTGGAACCGGGGAGGATGAAGCAACTCCTATTCTTTATTGAGTTGCCATGGTAACGCCACACATCTGCATTATAACAATAGCATCAGGCAATACCAAAATACTCGTAATTTGTATTCTTTAATTCGCCTACTTTTTTATCATCCATTTTGTAATAATTTCCATAAGAAAAGCTCATTTGCATTGGCAAGCGTATATTAATAATGACGTATGGTAATTTCTTTTAAGATAAAGGTAAATGAATTTAAATATTAATTAAACTTACACACAGAAATTAAAAGAGAAACACACCTGAATGTTATCATTTAATAACTGTGCCATGTAGATGTTATCAAAAGGGAGTTTTCCAAGTGGCCAAAAGTAGAAATGTGTTTAATTCGTGTTTATTACATAAATTACATTTCTAAGTGAGTGAGAAAGGAAAAGTTTGAAAGTTTAGGCGGATTAGTGTATTATAATCGCTACTCACATGCAAGGGGGTAATTATTTGTATTTAGTAAAGAGAATGCTTTGACGAATGTGAAGAGATAATTTTCAATATTTCAAAACTAGGAGGCACTGCAGAATTGAACTATTTTCTATCGACCATCTCCCTTATCCATGATCAAAATGGGGGAGGGAGGAATTACTTTCTGGTAAGCACAGTCCTCCTCCTCGATCGCTTCTCGAGATCCCTTATAATTCTGCATGTCTTAACAACGGAATGTCCGAGACAATGGGCGATTGGAACGTGTGCAAGTAATTATGTTTGCGAATATCTCCAAAAAGGTGTGCCGATGGAGAGTACTTACAAAAGAAAAAAGGATCATCTGGACGAGACATCTGTTGGTCGCAACGAGTATCTCTAAAACGACATGTCGTTGGAGAGCGAGTGGAACGTCTGTACTAGGACTATCTATTGCCAATATCTCCAAGACGGAGTGTCGGGTACTTTCAATGGGTGGTTGGAACGTCTGGGCGAGACATGTCTACTGGCGTTCCGTGGAACCTTCAGATGGAATTTCTCGAAAATGGAGTGCCAGAAAAAGACAAAGAGAAAATGCGAATTTCTCTTAGGGGTTGATTCTTCTTGCATTACATAGCATAGATTTTGAATGTCTGCCAGACGGTCTGTCTGCCCCCTTCCCATTAATCATCTATCATCAATTTTTATACATTTATTCAATTATACCTAACCCAATAGGTACCTAATTTACTTTGCCTTAAGGAAAGCACTTTGTTGTTGGGCGCAGTTTGTACTTATTTTTACTAATAATTGAGAGGAAATATAATCAGAATAAACTTTTGATCAAAGTTCAAGTGTGATTATATTGGTGCACACAGATAACCTTTTTTGCAAGTGGAAAATTCTTCACCTTTCCCCCCTAAATGCTGGTTAAATCGAAAATGACACATTACATAGCGGTTTGTTAAAATGGAAAACCGAATTGCCCGCTCGTATAGCTTTGATTTTATTTCTTATATGTCGTCTAGTATAAAAACAGTCGCACGTAGCTGCCAACTGCAATACTTATGTCTTTTTCTTCGCATGGGCTATATAGTGATGAAAATATAACATAATTTGTGCACACCTCACAGGCGATCAGTATTGCAGTGGGAGGGGCTACCTGTGATGATTGACGTGACTGTTTTTATACTAGAAGAGCAATAGATAAAAACTATGTCACGTTTATCTCGCGAATGAATTTTTTAATAACTCGCTCCCTCTTTTGGAGACTACGATCTGCACGTTTATACTTTATTGATCTTCGGTTGGACGATTACTTTAATTTTGTACACGGTTACGCTTTAGAGCCAATATTTGTCAATCTTTCACCTGTTCTTGTGGTCCTCCAGTCGATTCACCAGGTTCACGCAGATCTTGACACGAATCCTTAAACCAAATAATGTAAGATCACCGACAAAAGTAATTATGGTGGGTTGTTTCTTATCTTTTCCACCAATGCGACAAATATACGTTACAACCCTAACGAAAATTCGTAAAAAAATATATCCCGTTACAGGGCTCCCGTTACCTACTAGTTTTTCTAAAAACGGAATAAATTTATTTCTTATGAAGCCTAAAAGTCTTCTACCCGTTTTGCAACGTAACAAGACAGAGAAAGTGATGTAGGTAGACTTTCAACGATTTAAGCCATAACATTTCTATACCTTATTTTTATCCGGTGTCGAAATTTTGAATAATGTTTACCGCCACCGTAAATTTGCTACTTCCGTTGTGCTATGCTTTACATCAATTAAACTTGCATTCTATACTTACTTGCAAATTAACGCCGTGCACGTTGCGATAAGAAAATCAATACGGACGGTAACAAATGACTTAGGTACTGTACTAAAAATAGTGTCCTAGCTAATAATACTGCAATTAAAAGGAAGTGATGATATCTCCAAGAAAAGTTCGCGCTCTTTTGCGACGTCTTTAAAAATAAATGTGCGTTCTTTGCACGAAATATTTTTTCACACAAAGGAGGTTACATGCTTTGCGATGATAAACTACTCTGCGTTAGTCAATATGAATTAATATTCTATTTCTGTACGCAATCGGTAGTAGATACTAACGAATTGAATATTAATAAGTTGAATAATGTGATTTCCGTTATTTGCAGGAGTTAATCTCGGAAAAAAGGCGTGGCAGAAAAAGAAAGATTATAATGATAACCGGTGGGACGATTGTGGTTATTGTGGCAGCTGCTATCATTGCCGCCCTTGTTATACTATCGGGCTCGTCGGATGCGTCTCCGGTGGACAAAGAAGGAAAGGCGCTAACATTGGAGGATTACATAGAGGGACGATTAAATCCCAAGTCGTTTAATGGTAGTTGGATTTCAGGTAAGCATGCACCCTATCTGTCCGGTGTCCAAAAACCCTAGCGCCTTTTTTGCAAAAAAAAAGAGATTATAGATTACATAATACATATGAAAGATAGAAGTCATCAAAATAATAATCATGAAGCGGAAAATTATTTGGGGGTTTGATTCAAAACAAAGTGTTGTACCGATTTTTGAATGTAATAAACAGAAACAAATTTGCCTTTTTACATCAACTCGGTGTACCATGAACTGGATTGTTAAAAATATCCTTGAAAATAAAATAAATAAACAGCAGAAATCAGAATTTGCATGTTCTTCCATTAAAACTATTTACAATAGACAATTATGTAAATTTTCTGTCACTCTTGGTATGGATCACAATACCTTTTTAGTCCGTCTTATTTGGTCGAGATCCTAAGATTCCTGGGTAGTGGAAAATTCCCCTAGGGCAGGGTCGGCGTTCTTTGGTACGTGTGACAATTGGATGCTTAGTTCGTCCCATATTGAATAGTTTTAAACTCTCGCTTCAGTAATCTCAGCATTTATGTGGGTCAAAGATGTTAATTAACAAGTTGGCACAATGACGTTAATGAAGCGCTGTTTGGGAGAGTTTATCGCGATTTTATTTACACTGTTATTTTATCCATGTAATACCGCTATTGCCTATATTAATACGTTTATGCCGTAAACCGCCTCACAACTTCCTTTGACTTTATTGTTGTTAGTCGCCAAAGAATTTAATTGACGGTTTTTGTAGAAAATATTTCCCGATCCACAAAACGGATGCGTGCACCGAAGTAAATACGATTCGCGTGTACAAATTGGAGAAACTATTTGGAAAAAGAGTCTCTTTTATCATTTATGGGAAGGCTACCATCCTCAACTCCAGTTGTACGCTGATGATGACAGCCTTACTGTTGAAAGCTCGGTTGAAACGCGTTCGATATGTTTATATATTTTATTGTGATTCATTAGTGTTTTTCCCGTATTTTACGTGAAGTTCCCGTGCTTCCGGCATTTTAGAATCCCCTCAGAATCACATTACCGGGATTTTTTTTCTAATTTATTTATCTATCTACTTTTTCAACCTATATGCTTAACCTAGTAACATTTTAAATGAAAGTTAGAATAGAAATAGAAATAATTTAAAAAGCTACTCATACAATTAATTTATTTAATATTAATAACGTAGCGAGTATTCCAGAAATCCCGATAGACATCGAGGCGATAAAGAACGAAGGCGGATGCAAATGGAATTGTGTTCAGAGTTTAGTTCCAACTTCAATGCGCTTGTGTTATGTTATAAATTGTAAGTGATAAATAATAATTACTGTTATACATTAATCCATTTTAAGACAAATTTATTAGTTAGTTAATTTGTAAATAAATAAAACTACGTAATTAAATTTGCGGTACAATAATTCACTTTTTGGTTTGGTTTGTTTGTATTCTATGTTTTAATCATACATTAAAAAAGTATCATTGTCATATTGGCATAAGGGTTGGTGCGGTATAAGCATTTGGCACCGGGAGAAATTTCCCCCGACCCTTACTCTTCAATAGGAGTTAGTTCACTCCAATGTAACATTGGTGGCTCACTGCTCCAATTAAAAAATTATGTAACATAAATTAATTACCAGATTTATTTATTTACAATTAATTAATCATGTATTTGTAACAGTCTTTAAATGGTTTAATTTATAACAGTGAAATATGATTCATCACTCACTTGTACACAACTTATAAACATGTACATTTATCACATACGAGCGCGAAGTTCACTAATAATCACTTCGGTATAGATGTTAGAGCTGCTATTAAACCGAAAACCCGCTTTAATTTGCTTATGTAGAAAACGAGAATTCACGAATAAGCATATCGCATTTTCCGGAAAGAACGCGTCGCATCTACCTTCATTTTTTATCGATAGACCTGATGGCGCCTGCTGACGCCGCGATGTCTGGGATACTCGCTCTATTAAAATAAATAGTCATTTAATGTAGATCGTGGCAGCTGTGTAGGTCAAATGGGTGCTAAAATTCTTTGTGTCTTACCTATAAAATTCATAAGAAGAGACCTGTTTTCGATCGACGGGAAAATAAAAATTTCTGCAAGATTGTGGCCCGAAGAACTTCCAGAAGTGAGAAGAATTACGTGTCTTGAATCTAGAGGCTTGTGTTCATTTTTCGTAGTAGACCTGTAGTCGGTGAAGTTTTTCTTAAAACCAATAGCCTACCCGCGTCTGACTGAAAACAATTTCGCCAGATCTGAGAGTTTTAGAGGGGTGGTTGTGCAAAAACTTTATTTGTTTAATTATCTTTGAGGAAATGGCGGTCTCGATCACCTCGCTGGATGGTATCTAAATGCTATGATCTTTCCGTGTTGGTGAACATTTACGACAAGTACCAGACCTGCATCTGGATCTATACAGGGTAGAGCAGCGGTTCTCAAACCTTTTTGGTGACGGAACCCTTTTAAAAAACTAAATTTGTAACGGAACCCTCTAAGCCCTAAACTAAAAGCAACACCAGTTATGTATGTATATTGTTTATTAATAATCACACAAAAAAAGATACATACAGTAAGTTGAGTAAGCAAATAAGAAAACTAAGATCATTTATTTTATAGCTTATGTTAAATTGACATTTTGATAGGTTGGAATGAGTATGCTTTTTAACCGTAAGGGTAGATAAAGTGATCACTTTAACGGCAAGGGTAGACGAAGTGAAATAAATCATTGTGCACTCCGAGGAAATCTGTTATTTTTATTAAAAATAGGACGCGGAGCACGATATAAATGAAATTAAGATCAGGCTTCGCGGAGCACACTTTAGGTAACGCGGGGTTAGAGCATAAAGTGAAATTATTAGGCCCTTTGTGCAGTTTCAGTATCGCACATTTCGCATATTCCCAAGTTTAGATTCGCCTGTTGTTCTTAAACCTTCTATTGGGAGCAATCAGCCTCTTTGGTATTTTTAGCTGGCAGGCTCTCCGGCTGACATCTCAGGAATTACAATATAGTTATTCAAATTATCACTAAACGCTTTCTGCTGTAGTGTAGATGTGCAGGCTCTAGTCTATTTTGAGTTAGATTAATCGTGAGATTGATCAATTTAAACTTTGATAATAAAATACTGATCTGATTACCAAAAATGCACTTTTATCATGCATGTGTAACTGCAGAAACTAAAAGTATGGAAAATATTTTGTCTCCTACAGTTTAAAGAATACAAAGTTAGAGATTTCTTTTTAGGGTTACGTAGGTACTTCTGGAAATAATGCAAATTCGTTTCCGACACATTCCGACTTTATTCAAAAGTGAAAAATAATATGGAACTCCTAAATAATTTAATAATTTAAATTTTGCATATTAGATTTTGAAAGGAAATTTTTGATAATGCGCTCACCACATTCCGGCGGTTTCCCTCATTTCCCAACCGCCCCCCGATTCAATCAAACCTCCCTGCGTCTTATTCCTTATTTGAATAACATTTTCATCTGAAATATTGTCGGTGTAAAAATGAGCTGCCACTTTGAATGTGGAATGTTGTCTCATCTTCTACACCTTCATCTGTGTATCTAGTACATAAGAAATTTTTTATTGCAGGTAACGAAATAATGTACAGAAGCCAAAATGGCGATATTCGTGTATATAATGCAGACACTCGAACTCACGAAATTCTTGTGCCATTCCATGCAACGCCAGTAAGTTGTTTTTGATCAGATTACAACACACGCATTGAATAAAAATAAATGGAAGTTCGTAAGAATTCAAATTTTACCCCAACGATCTACCAGAATAATGCGTGTTAAATCATCACGTACAATTGTCATAGAATTATGGATAAAAATCACGGGAAATGTGTGATTTATCGATAGATTTTATTTGAACTTCTAATTATTATTTATTCATGGATAGGTATACAATTTCGCTGACCTTGTCCATTTTAAATATGTAAGCAACTAAATTTAATGTAGTTAACCACCAAGTCTTACGATAACTTCACACTTCCGCTTAAATTTACCATCATACAGAAATGGTGAAATCAAGAAAGAGCTAGAGACTACGAACAAATCAAAAGAATATTTAACGAAGGACACGGCAGGGTCCTGGCACGAAGAACCATCCTGACGTTGGACTAAAAATTCTACGGCGACATAAAGCCATTTTCTACACAACACGTTCACAGAACGGACATAACGAAATGAATAACCAATTCAAGAGATCTCAAGAAATAAAATTGGGTACAGTCTGTCCAAGAAATATTTAAAATTATTTTCGTTTCGCAATTATTGACGAACTACACTTACATGAAAATATAAAGCTTTTACAAATTCACATTTTTGTTTGACACTTGCAATTAAATCTTCCAACGACTCATTTGACGAAATTGTGGCTAAATTTGACTGAACGCATAATTACAAAAATTTAAATCACTTTCATAAACTGAACAACGACATTACTTCAATTCGTTAAAGATCCTAACTTAAACTTGACGTATCCTAACTGACTTAACACAAGCAGATAAAATTTCACGTAAAAATGACTTACGCACGCTTTCAATATGACTCGACCAGCCGCGTCCTTAACTTGGTCCACTTATTTAAGCATTCATCACCTCCACTCCATTATTCCGCATTGTTATTATACGATGAAACTCGCCAAATTGATTGCCATATGCGTACGCTTATCGTGCAGGGATTATTGTATCAAACCCGGCCAATTAATTTGTCCGATAACGGCTTTTCGACACACATTCGGCCAGATGAAACTTCTTTCTTACATGGATTTCAAATTAAATATTTCGAATAAATTTAAAAATTGTACAGGATATCCTGCCTGAAACTTCTAATGCTAGACCTAAATTACATTGACTGCACGTAAATTTTCACTACAGGGTGGCTTGCTCTCATCGTGGCCATTATTTCAATCTAGAGAAACGAGAGCCCCCTGCAGTACATACAGAGCATGAGTGACGTTGGCTCCTGGAGAGTGCGCATTTGGAACTCAATTTAAGGAAGAAGGGGATAATCGTCCCCTTCACGTTTTCTTAAGGAGGCGCAACCGAAGATAGTTGACAAAACTACTGAATCGAGTTTAAGAATCAGGAGATGCTTGAAGAAATAGAAGGGATAAACGATTCTCCGCCAAGAGAACAACGATGGAGTTGGCGAAGGGAAAGATATGGACCGAAGTAACGACGAAACGGGCTTCAAAACGTGTATTTCCGTCGAAAAAGTGGGCGGTGATTTTTAACCCAATCCAATACCTCCCTTACCAACGTGTGGGTGGTAAAAAAGTAAAAGGAGAGAGTCTACGTAAAAAATATGCAAACGACTTTCCACCAAAATCAAAGAATACGACGGATTAAAGTAGGTACAACAAATCAAAATTCAATTAAACTGTGCTATTTATTTAGAAGTAGACACATAGTCCAATCAAGATGTACATCCGTGCTTGGAAAAGGTCCGGTCGTTCTGAATTTTTTATATGTTGTTAGTACCTAAACCAACAATGAAAAACCAGATTTGCAATTTCCAAAGTGCTGTGCGATCGGCGGTATATCCAAAAAACCATGAAATTTTCGGACTTTTTTCAGTTTTTACTCAATATCTCGGTGAAGGAAGGGTCTGATCAGTGTAGTCATTCTATAATCTTTTAAAGTAGACTAAACTTGCTACAATTTGAGACTAGAGCGAAGTCTATACAGCCATTGGTTCCCAAGATACAGTTCTTCGAAAATAGAAATTTTTTTTTAAAATGATTTTTTTCAAAATGGCCACATTTTTTTTAAATATCTTCTAAAATACGAATCCCACGTCAAATATTATATGAAATTAAGTTGTAGCAAATTTCATTCCCTTTCATTTGTTTTTATTTATTGAGCAATTACAATTTATTTATTTCTTTTATTGTAAAAAAATTGCTAAATTACTTTACACAAAAAAGGAAAGTGATATAATTCATGTAGTATTATGTTTTGGTTGCCAAATCATGCCTTTCTTTTTATCTTTGATGGGCCGGGCTCGCTCAAAGATGGTGTCTCGAACCTTTCTTGCATTCACATGACATTTTTCGCAGAAGGGCAGGAGGTGCGGGCGGGATACATGGGGGTGGGTCCCTGAGCAGACAGCTTCCACCCCCAATCAGTGGGATTCAAGTAGACTCCCCGCCACTTCTGCACTTGGTGGTAGCATCTTGCTGCATGATGGGCTGCTGCATCTTCCGTCGGTGGCAAATGGGCGAGATTTATGCTCTTTGAAAAAAATCATTTTTTTTAAATTCCTATTTTCGAAGAACTGTATCTTGGGAACCAATGGCTGTATAGACCTCGCTCTAGTCTCAAATTGTAGCAAATTTAGTCTACTTTAAAAGATTATAGAATGACTATACCGAGATATTGAGTAAAAACTAAAAAAAGTCCGAAAATTTCATGGTTTTTTGGATATACCGTCGATCGCACAGCACTTTGGAAATTGCAAATCTGGATTTTTATTGTTGGTTTAGGTACTAACAACATATAAAAAATTCAGAACGACCGGACATTTTGCAAGCACGACCCCCTTTTCATGTTTAAATTTACAGGACTAGCAGGGGTTCACGTGTATTGTTCTTCCCTATGTCTACTTTTAAATAACAAAATCACTTCTGAAGGGCGCCTGATTTTATGCGTCCAAAATAGCGTCTTAAAACAAAAATAAAGATCTGGCTGTCATTTTAATTAATTTGAATATTTTTTTGAATATAGTTCACATCAAATAAATCCCCTTAAACTGTTACCGGCACTATACCAAATGCCAATATCAACTTTTTCTTCAGTTGAATGCATGGCACACGAACGAAAATAAAAATACGGAAGCCAAAGCAGCAATAATTAATTAATATGACAGCAAGATTTTTATTTGTTTTAAGAAGTTATTTTGGTCGCATAAAATTAGGCGCCCTTTAGAAGAGATTTTGCCATTTAAAAGTAAACATTGGGACAAACAATACACGTAAATCCCTATGTCTACTTCTGAATAAATCCCACAGTATAACACCCTAATAAAAAAAACTTTCTCATAGTAGAAGTAGCTGGTAGATCCCGAAGAATCTTACCTGTGTGGAGTTGATTAAACGATACAAAAGTTTGGCCACGTCTGACGTAGAAGAATAAGAATGAATCAAAGAAACATAACCGCGCATAGAAACTAAATGAGTGTAGGTAGTTCAGTTTGTTACGTGTAACGGCGAAGAGCCGTCTAACTACCAGGATCAGATTTAGTGTCACAAATGTCTTGTTTTAATGTGGAAGATGAATACAAACTAATTCAATCAAATGATAACTTTCTATTTTATTTATTAATTGACAATTACCCTCAGCCGACTACTATCTATACATTCTAACACTCCGCCTCGATTCAATTTTAATCCTAAATATTTGAATCGCTTACTTTACATCTAATCAACAGAACAATAACTATAAAAAAAAAATAATATCCAGATCAATTTACAAGTCCAATTTTCTTGCATATGTACTGGAATACATTCTTTGACAACCCCTTTGTCATTATGTCGGCCTGTTGCTCTTGCATTTTAATATAACGAAGATTGATGATTTGTTTCTCAATGCAATCACGAATGAAATGATATTTTATATCAATATGTTTTGTTCGTTGTGAAACCTTTTCACCTAAAGCGATTTTTATAGCTCCCTTGATTGTCTTCATGAATAATCGTTGGTCCATCCAGAGATATACCAATTTCACATAATATACCACGGTACCAGATAATTTCAGCAGCAGCAATCGCCAAAGAAATGTACTCTGACTCCGTAGTTATAAAGCAATGGACGTTTGCTTTCGTGCTGTCCATCCAACTGTTGAACCAAACACTTTGATTATATTTCCTGAAATCGATTTTCGCTCATTTGATTCACTATCATAATCAGCATCGGCAAATCCCTCCAATACTGGTGATTTATAATGGCAGTTGTATAATAATCGCAAATCAAGAGAACTTTTGACATATCTTAATATTCGTTTTGCACCAATCCAATGTTCATCAGTCGCACATGACTGGAATTTGCTGAAGTAACCAACAGCGGCACACAAATCAGGTCTTGTTGCATAAGCTATGTACATAAGACAACCAATCAGTTCACGATAAGGTTTCTTCGTGAATTCTGATTCACTGCGTGTGATCTTCTTGGTTTGAATCTCCATTGGTGTGGCAACCGGATTGCAATTATTCATGTTGAATCTACGTAGAACGTCTTCGAGATATTTGCGTTGACTTAAATATAATGTCCCAGCATCACGGTTTCTTTGGATATTGATGCCAAGGAAGGTTTTTATTTCACCCATATCTCGCATCTCAAATTCGGCTGCAATCAAACGCTTAACAATCAAAATCTTATCCAAATTCTTTCCAAGCAAAATTAAATCGTCCACATACAATAAAAGTAAGATCATACTTGCCCCACTGCCCATCAAGTACAAACATTGATCATATTGCGAACGTAAGAAACCAATTCTTACAACAAATGTGTGAAAACGCTCATTCCAAACTCTTGACGCTTGTTTAAGTCCGTAGAGAGACTTATTCAATTTGCACACCAATTTGCCTTGGACAAAGCCATCGGGTTGCTCCATATAAATGTCCTCTTCAAGCTTGCCATTAAGAAAAGCAGTCTTCACGTCCATTTGGTGTATTTCCAAATCTCGCTCAACCGCAAGCGCCAGCAAAAGACGTACAGTCGTGATTTTCGCCACCGGTGAATAGGTCTCATTGAAGTCAAACCCCTCTCGTTGCGTGAACCCACGAGCGACCAACCTTGCTTTGTACGTTTCCAATTCTCCTGCAGCATTCCGCTTCCTTGAGAATATCCATTTACAAGTAATGACAGCACGGTTGGATGGTCGTTCAACAAGGGACCAAGTTTCATTTCTTTTTAAAGAATTCATTTCTTCATTGACCGCTTTCATCCATTGATCAGAATCATTTCGTTTTGCAATGTCTCCAAATTTCATGGGAACATCATCAATGAATGCTATTGCATTTAGTGCAAATGCAGAGAAGCATTCGTCCGTATTAAATGAACATGTGGATAGATAATTTTCATGCTCATCATCGTATCTTAATTCAATTGTCGAACTGTCGACCCAGCTACCGAATTTACTTGGTGGTTGACGCTTTCGCTTTGAACGTGCTAATTCATTGCCGGAATATAATTCTTGATTATCAAATTCAGTATCAATTCGTCCAACATCTATTACTCCGCCTGAATCAATACTATCCTTTCCTTTACACGTTGTTTTATCTCCAACATCGTCAATCTCCGCCTCGTCAACACCACTCTTCGCTTGATCTGACTCGTAAAATATGTTCGATGATTCATTGCGTTTTGATTCATCGAATATTACATCACGTTTTACAACAATTCGATTCTTTGAAGAATCCCAAAGTCGATAGCCATTAACTCCATAACCAACCATCACCATCTTGGTTGATTTTGCATCCAGCTTTTTACGAAGTTGATCAGGAATATGTACATATGCAGGCGAACCAAAAACACGGAATTTTGAAATGTCTGTTTTCTTCCCCATCCAAAGCTCGTATGGTGTTGCAACCGACTGAATCGCTCGAGTTATACTACGATTCATCACAAAAGTTGCACAATATACAGCTTCACCCCAAAATATGCGTTCCATATGTCCATCTTCGAGCATGGACCTTACCCTCTCTATCAACGTTCGATTCATTCGTTCCGCGACACCATTTAGTTGCGGTGTATACGAAATCGAATACTGTAATTGAATGCCAGATGCTTCGCATTGTGCCTTGAACCGATTAGATGTGTATTCTCCTCCATTATCACAACGTAACGCGCCTATTTTCTGCCCAGTATGCGTTTCCGCCATTAATTTGTATTTCTGGAACATAGTGAAGACATCCGATTTTTCTTTGATAAGGTACACTGCCATAAAATGAGTAAAGTCATCAATAAATGTCACCATCCCATGTGGATGGTGAAATCGGCCCACAAACATCACTGTGTACCAAAGCCAACGTACGCTTTGATCGCGCTCCGCCTAAATTGGCGAACGGCTTTCTAGATTGCTTGCCCATGATACAAGGTTCATAAATAGTATCCGCGTCATCAACTAATACGCCAACACCGTTAACCAACGATGGCATTTTTCTTACATCGGCGTAATTCATATGTGCTAGTCGCCTGTGCCATAGTTTTAAACTTTGCTTTACACTGCCATTGGATTTTATCACCGCGTGTACGTTTTCATTCAAAATGCGTTTCATTTCAAATTCATACAAGCGTCCAATCCGCCGACCGGTGATTACTTCACTTGTACCCCGCATAATATGGACCAATCCATTCTGCACAATCATTTCTAGACCAGCATCCTCCAATCGGCTTACCGAAAACAGATTATATTTCAAATCTTTGATGAAAAGTACATTAGTCAGTGTGCAACGTTTTTCATCCCCATTCACAACAACAGTTCCTCGAATTATACCTCGCTTGTATGCTTGAATCGACTCGCCACTTTTCGCAACACCTACAATAATTGGATCTTCCAAATCCCATAATTCATTGAACAATGATAGATCGTTCACCATATGTTCAGAAGCACCTGAATCAATTATGAAGCGAATTGATGATTTTGTGTGGCCAACAAAGGCAAATGTACTCGTGTCAGCAACAATCGCCACATCATCTACCGCATTTTCACTAATTGCCAAATTCGATTTTCCTTTCTTCAAATTCACATTGTTCATTTTACTTGATCTACCGTTCTTCTTCTGAAGTAACTTTGGACATTCGTTGCGTTTATGACCTTCTTTCTTGCAAAAATAACAACGTATTACACCACCATACCTGGCAATGCTATTTGAACTACTTTGACCTGCATCCAAATTGCACGATTTGCTCTCTTCGTCTAACAGACGCGAGCGAACAATCTCCATTGTTAAGTTTTTAATATCCATCGTCTCAAGAGCAGTGACCACCATATCATATTTCCTTGACAAAGTCAAAAATAATGTGACAATTAAATTTCTGATATCCATTTCTCCTCCGCATGCTTTTAATTCGCGCACTAATTTGTCGAAGTTGAGGAAATGTTCAGTTAGATTACTTGAATCTTCACAACGTAGCAGTAACATTCGCTTTCTTACACTTATTTCTGTTGCTATACTTGTTCTTTCAAACGTTGTACGAAGCGACTGTATCATTGCAAATGCTGTTTTCCGTTCCTTCAAATACTCTAAATGCGAATCCGCAACACGACGAGTTATTTGTAAACGACATGCGCGATCTTCCTTAATGATTTTCGCAATTTCCACATTATTTTCACGGATATCAGGTTCTGTTACAGCTTTGGCTGCATCTGTTTCCAACCATTTTTCAATTCCTTTGTCCTCTAGCACTACTTGTAGCCGGAAATACCAATTGCTAAATTCTCGTCCATCAAATTGTCGGAACACAAATTTTTCCTCATCTGCCATTTGATTGATGTGTAATGTAATTCAAATTTCTAAGTTTCGGCTCACAAACGTTTTTCTTCAAACTGCACCAAAAACCAACCACTTCACAATGTGCTGAGATAGCCCATAACCTCTTGTTTTAATGTGGAAGATGAATACAAACTAATTCAATCAAATGATAACTTTCTATTTTATTTATTAATTGACAATTACCCTCAGCCGACTACTATCTATACATTCTAACAAAATGTACACCTCCCTCCTACATCGCGGATCACCGTGTAAACATCATTTTGACTGCGTCTTCTTCGTCTTAAATGCCACCACAGTCCACAGTACTGGGATGTCAACAACTTAAGATCTTCTGCAGGGGCACATCTAAAAAGCAGTATGCTCTGGTGCCCAGAACAAGAGAGGGATAATAAATAAAATAAATGTCATCGTCGTCTATCGTGTATGAAGAACTGACGACCCGTTCATGTGCGAAAAAACACCTCCAGTTGCCGTCTTCCGTTTAAACTGACTAAATAGGTAAATGTTACGTTAGAGTTACTTTGGAATCAAATTATCTCGGAGATCCGAAAATAAGTAGGGGGTATTGTAACGGGTAGTGTTTCGATTTCGTTTTGGTGATGTTCTAAACATAAGGGAAATTTGAGATTTCCCTCGGCGACTCTTTGCAGGTGGATGCTCGAATAGTACCACAAGCTAACCGACTTAAATATTTATACGGTTGAACAAGCTTGAATTAATCAATGCCACAAATCTCATTCCTTCATTAAAACTGTTTCTAGAAGATAATGTGATGTGGCCACAAATTCGGACCTATCGAGAGATATAAAAATCAACGTTATAGACATTCGGAGTGCCGAAAAGATATGAATACCTTGGTGTCTAATATAGTGGAGTCCCGAGGTTTCTAAACGGATATGCGATTTTAAAAAAGTGTCACTTTTTTCTATTTAATAAATTTGTTACCCTCCTACAAAGACACCATGGCAATTTTTCAAATCATCAAGTTCAATGCCCTTCGATGAAAAAGATGAATTGACAGTGTTGGCGAAATGTACCTATTTCATACAAAAAAAAACGTATTTAACACAACCAATATATTGAACATTTCAGGTTTTATCGAGAGCCGTCGATTTCTCCATATCTGCCGACAGACAATTCATGCTGGTAGCTCACGACTATCAAAAGGTTGTTTCCCATTGCGAATTTCCTCATACTTACGCCATTTTGTAGATATACAGGCATAGCTACGTAGCTCAATTTACAGTGATCAATTTGAAAACGCTCGCAATCAGCAATATCAACGCGAACGGGGAGCTAATCTTGCAGTTGGCGGTATGGGGACCCGTCGGAAATGCAATCGTTTTCGTAGCAAGGAACAACATTTTTTACCAACCCAGTGCTGCGTCGTTCAGCACACAGTTGACGGTCGACGGACACATTGGGAACGTGTACAATGGAGTTCCGGATTGGGTTTATGAAGGTTTGTAATGTTTCCTGGTTATCTGTGGTTGATAGTCGTGTCTCTCTTCAGAGGAGGTTCTTAGTACGAACCAGGCGCTTTGGTTTTCACCGGATGGGAAAAAACTGGCGTACGGTAAATTCACTGATACTGCCGTAAAAATTATGACACTCCCAGTGTATGGCGAACCCGGAAATTTAGACTTCCAGTACACGAAAGCGGTCCAAGTTCGATATCCAAAGGTGTATGGCCCAACTTTTATCTAATACTAATGAATCTCATTTTAGGCTGGCACCAAAAACCCTGTCGTTACTTTACACGTTGTCGACTTAGAAGTCAACAGTGACGTTAACCTCCTAGCGCCTTCCAATGTAGCAAATCAGTAATTATACCCATTTTCTTAAATATCAATAATAGCCATTTCTTGTAGAGAACCAATTTTGGCAGCAGTGTCGTGGGCTACCAAAGACACAGTGAGTGCCATATGGATGAACCGAGTTCAGAACGAAGCATCAATAGTTATGTATAATCTAGGCGACCCTCCTACTATGCTAACTGTAAGTATGGCGACTAATACGTACTCACATTAACCTGTTCGCTCCAGGTTAACACTTTGAAGCAAAACAACGGTTGGTTGGAGTTATTTACTCCACCTAAGTTTTCCAAAGACGGCTCGAAATTCCTGATCATCCATTCACAAGACCAAGGGCACGGAGCAGGATCGTACCGACATATAACAATCTACCCAACAAACAATGCAAACAATCCTGGCAAGCCCTTAACTTCTGGCCTATTTGTGGTCACGGAAATATTGGAATGGGACGAGGCGAATGACTTAGTGTATGTCACCCACAAATATTTCCTGATAAATTAATCTTTGCATCTCCCAGGTACTACCAAGCTAATATGCCAAACGCTTCCGAAGTTCAACACGTCTTCACAGTGTCGGTCAACACCTTGAAAACGAAATGCGTAACCTGCAGTTTGCGGGAGAAAGAGGACAGTTGCTCGTATAATTCTGCTCAATTCAGCAAAGATTTGTCGCACCACGTATTAAACTGCGAAGGACCGAATGTTCCCGAAACCATGATATATTCGAAGAACAAGTTGGTTGACGTGTGGGAACGTAATTCGGATTTGCGCGACTTAGTCCGAAACGTGAGAACGCCTGTGATAGAAAAGCATAGGTTCGACCTTCCGGGTGGATTTAAGGCACAGGTGATGCTTAGGTTGCCTTCGAATATAGACAAAAGTGGGGACACAAAGTATCCAATGCTTGTGAACGTGTAAGTATCTTGCAGGAGTTTTTAATTTATCGTGGTTCAACAATAAATTTACACTACTTAGATATGGAGGTCCAGATTCCTTCCAAGTGGTAGATCGATTTAATATGGATTGGGGTAGTTACCTGGCTGCAAACAAAACCATCATCTACGCCACCATTGATGGTAGAGGATCCGGTTTAAAGGGCGACAATATTATGTTCTCACTCTATAGACGCCTGGGTACCATTGAAGTTGAGGACCAAATTAATGTTACAAAACAAATTCAAAAAACGCTACCGTACGTGGACGAGACTAGAACCGCAATTTGGGGTTGGAGCTACGGTGGTTTCGCATCCGGCATGGCCCTATCGGAGGACACGACGGGGGTTTTCAAATGCGGCATTTCAGTTGCGCCTGTAACAGATTGGACTCTTTACGGTAACGGCAATTGAAAATTACGCCCGAAACTAACTTTATCATATTAGACTCCATATACACTGAACGCTTCATGGGTTTACCAACACCTGCAGACAATGAAAAAGGGTACGAAAACGCGAAGCTAATCGAGAAGTACGAGGGTCTTCGTAACAAAGACTACTTTCTCGTGCATGGCACCCTCGACGACAATGTTCACTACCAGCAGTCCATGTTGTGGTCGAAAGTTTTAGAACAAAACGATATTCTCTTCCGCCAAATGGTAATGCCTCACTTTCAGTTCCATTTTTACACCATTCCATATTATAGAGCTACCCAGACGAAGATCACAGCTTAGGGTCAGTAAGACCGCATCTCTACCACTCCTTAGAACAATTTTTGGATGAATGTTTTATAGACAATGAAGTTTAGCAAAATGACCTTAACGCATACTCAGCCTAGTCAAAGGAACCATCAAATTAAGAACCAAAACCATGTTCAGATCTCACTTCAACTAATTCGCAAAATATGTGGCATAATTGATAACGTTGTGAACTCGAGGTTCACGAAAAAATGTGTGTACTTATAGGTACTATTTTGATGTCATTTATACATTTGTACTTGGTGTAAATAGTATTATTGTAACATATTTGTTTGTAAAAAATATTGTCTTTTTATAAACGTTGAAATATTTATTAATTGAATTCACAGATTGTTGAAATTGAAAATTCAACAAAACAAATCAATGTGAATACTTGCCATGAAGAAAACTAAAGAGTGAAAACACTATCTGGCAAGGCATTTACTAATCCTAAGCGGCCAAAGCGATCGGATGATAATATCGCACTCGTACAAGCCAGTAGTGAGAGTTCTGGAAGTTATCGAATCGTACTGGTTTGTTTGTAAACTATCATTTCTTCGTGAAGAGGTGGTCACGTGGGGTGGCACAAAACTGTAACCAAATGAGTTACGACACCTAATTCCGTGATTGACCTGGACTCTCAACTGTAGGCTCGGACGAGAGGCGAGTTACCTATATCAGGGGCGAGATTCTGCTAATAAAAGCTCTTCGGTTAAGACTCTATGTGCGTTATATCGGTTGCGATTCACTGATTTCCACATATTTTATTGTTGTTGGTTTGATTTGACCAGCAAGTTTTTATTGCACCAAAGATGAGACACTGTTGTACAGCTACCTTGTTTTGTTACCCGCTTGTAACCCAACCATTTCTTTTGTTTTACCACTTGCCATTCACCTGTTTTTATATCATGTTTTGTGTGATTTATATTTATCATGTTTTTATGTCTACCATTTATTTAAACAAATTATCTTGCACATTGACAACATTTTCACTATTGCTCATTCGAGACTATTGACTATTTAAATAACTGATGATCAAAAGCATAAGACATTCAAAATACGAATTATACTATTCCGCCATTATGTTCTAATGTGTGTTCCCTCACCCTACTGTACCTACTTCAGGTCATAGCGTTGTTTAAATGTTTGATCACGTGCCACTTTTTGATTTCATATTTAAGTGGGATCTGTACGTTTAACTTATAGCATGCTTATAGGCATTGTGATGGTCATTTTTAAACGTTGCCAGGTTGATTTTATTTTCGTGTTATTGTAGTGAGCGTAAATCCTCCGTATTTCTTTTGTGGAGCTATTTGAAATCGAAAGTTTATGCACAGAATATATTTAAATCTGTGGTTTATGTAAACAACTTGTTGGGTATCCATTCTTTCTCTCAGGATGCTCGAAATCTCTTCAGAATCTTTTCAAAATAATTTCACAATCTCTTCCAAATCTCTTCTGAATTTATTTAGAGGCAATATCTTAAGTAAAAGGCGACATTTTTTGGCTAAAAAAACCATAATCTGGACCTAAAATGTTAGACTGTACATTTTGAGTTTAATGGGTAGATTCGCCTGTTTATGGTCCCTTATCAAATTAGAGTTTGAGAGGTTCCACTCTGTATATACAACTTACGACGATACATACATTTTTGAGAGTTGGCAACCATGCAATTTCTAGGTGGGGAAAAGCTGCCTGCGCCATCTAGAAAGCACGGACGGGGTTTACGTTTGGCATCTTGTCTTGAATGGCGTCGCTCCATAAATGTTTGTTGTTATTTTGTGTTATTTAATGCAGGTAGTAATCTTTGTATTTCTTTATATCGTATTTGTGTTTTATATGCCGCATTTTATACTTTTTATATGTTTCAATCTTTGTTTTTTTGAAATTTACTTGGTTTAACCGCAATGCAGAATGAAATGTTTAATACCGTTATCCTTTTGTTTATAATTGTTTACGTTTTTGGTGTAATACTTGCTTAATTTATGTTTATTGATGTTGATTTCTTGGTCTTGTCCCTGAAGTAACGTTAATATAAGTTTTGATCTTTTATTTTAATATGTGGAAATTACCGATTCGTTTGATGTATGTACTGACTTGTTGTTTGTAACTAACCATTTTCTTTAAGCAGTCACGGGGGTGGTAAAAACTGTAGTTAAAATTGAGCTACGACACCTAATTCCGTGAATCTCTTCGACTTTCAACTGTAGGCTCGAAACCCCGAAACCAGGGGCGGGTTACCTATCTTGCAGGAGCGGGATTACGCTAATCAAAGCTCTTCAGTTTAGAATCTATGTGCGATAAATGAGTTACGATTCGTACTTTATTGCACCAAAGATGAGTCACATCCTGTGTATTTCACCCTTTCTTAGAATCTTGGTACCTGCTTACCTGACCCATAATTCCCAAAACTTGTTTTTAACCTGTATGTTACCTCTTGAAGTTTACCTGCTACTTTTGTGATGTTATATTCTGTTACGCATTCACATGATTACAAACAATTAATTTGACAACACAATTTGATATTAATTTGGCGGCTGGTTTTTTTATTGGTAAGTTCTTTTTTTCCCAGCCTATTTCTATTTTTATTCGGGGAACTATCATTTTCAAAGTTTATTTTTGCAATGTAATTTATTTCGACTTAAATTTCAGAGCTTTCACAATCTTAATAATTGTGATCATTATTAAACAAACTTTTCACAATTTGTGTGCTTTATTTTACGTTCCTTCCCTACTGTGCTTCAGGTCAAAGCGTTGTCTACAACTAACGTAAGCGGGATCTTGTTTAGTTTTGGAGGGAATAGTCATTCGGGTGGTCATTTTTAAACGTTGCCGGGTTGACTTTATTACGTGTTTTTATAGTGTGAGTTAGCGTAGAACCTGGGGGTTAAATACACTATAAGTTCTATAATTATTTGTGACTTTTTCACGTTGTAACATAGGCAAAATTGCATAGTATATACGGATACTAGGCACGAGTTGGTTTAAAGGAGATAAGTAGGCTGGTTTAAAACGATGGGTGTTACAAAGGTGAGCAGTGAAGCGTCTGGCTTCGGTAATTCCCTTGTGGCTAGACGAAATCATGGAGTAGAGAAGCGCTGGGGTCTCTCGGATTCAGTAAAAACGGGCGCGGTTCTGATAATTGCGTTGGGTCCGTTTTGGGTTTTCTATTACGTTGTTACGACCAGATAAAGGGATTATTATTTGAAAAACTAAGTAATTTTAAAAAATGGGCTCTTTATTTCATTTCTCTTCAGTAGTTTTTGGGTGCGAGTTTTGAAATATATTCTTTTATCATTGTCAAAAAGTGCGTTTATTCGAATCCATTTTACAGTCCAGATAAGTCGAAAGTCGCACATTCATATTGTCACAAAACGGTGAAGTTGATACTTTTTTCATTCTCTTCTTTAACCTCCGGAGCTTTTTCCCATTTCAGAAGCTTCTGACTCCATTTTCCAGTCCACGCAAACCAATACCAAATGTTGGTGTCAATGTAGGGATGTATACAAGTTTTCTGTTTTTAGATTACTTTAAATGCGTCAATTTGGTCTTGTAAGACAAGTACTACTACAACCACAGACAAATTGGGTACTTTATCTGTGCTACAATGTTGAACTTGCGAGCAGTGATGTCGAAATACAATTTTGTTAATACCAAAACAGTCTGCTTCACATGTAGCGCACAGAAAACTAATGTCACTGTCTGGTGCAAAGTTTGTGATTGTATGTATGTCACTGCAATAGGATTCGAGATCATTGAATAAGGTTGTGGATTTGCAAAGATGGGTTATTCTTTGACATAACAAGAATCACAACGATATATATTTAATTTTAGTTGATCATATTTACAACTGTTTGTATTTTTTGGTGTAGCAATCCAATGATATTAATAATATGTAGGTACTCAAGATTACATGAGGAGTTAGCCTACACATTGAGAACAGGATTTGTGTGTTATTTAAATGCATCCAATAAGCAAATATTACAAAATCAACTTTATTTAACACATTTCTGTAAGAAAGCTGTCCTCCAAAGACGGGTAGACTTTCAGATTAATATCAAACCTATAAAAACCCAATCACAATGATAATAAAAAAGTTAATGTACTCACTGTTTGAATCCGGCTGCAATTTCTTCAACCTTAGTGGGATCGCATACAATCGCCGTTTTGACTTGCGACGGATTGAAGAGTGGCGCGAAATATTTCTTGCCTACACGGTTTAAATCGTTGATCGTGACCTCATCTATCAATTGCAATAAGGTTCTGTTGTATTCGTAATTCACGCCGAAAAAGTAAGTTTGCAACGAATGCATCACAACACATCCGATCGATTCTTCATTTTGGATGAACTCGTAAATTAGGGAGCACTTAGCCGATTCAAACAGTGTATTATCCCATTCCTCGGTTTCGATTTGCTTCTTAACAATTTCAGCCGCTTCCTTATAGGCACCCACGACATTTGTCGCGCGTGAAAATCCTAAATGCATGAGACCTTCGTGAACTTTTAAAGTAATACTGAATCCATAAGCGAATCCTTTCCCTCTTATTTGCTTCCACAAAGGCCCCTAAAGCGCCAAACATTATTTGGATTTTCACCAGAAATCGAGTTTACCCACCTCGGCCTGCGTTAAATAATTCGCGTACACCATAATGGCGGGCATATCAGGATCGTCGTAGGCACGCACGCTCGCGGTAGATTGCCTAAACTCGGAAGACTCCAAGCATCCCATTCCAACAATACAATGAGACAAACCATTCTCGTTCTGAGGCGACAACAGTTTCCAATCCGGAGTAACATTTAAACTAAAATTTGACATTTCCAAGATAATATGCGGCGCAATTTAGATGTTACCTTTTCTGAGTTCCGATTAAATTCAATTCCGGCGTTAGCAAGTTGTTAAACGCTTCGACCGGATTTTCACCTAAATAATCTAAATTGGCGGCACAGTACAGGGTTACGTTCGACGGGTCCGTGATCATCGATCTCACTTTTTCCATCACCGCGAGTACTTCGGCGGAATTCGGACCTTCCAAATCGCTCACTAGTTGAGTTAGAAATTTGTGCTGCTTGAAAACGCCGTTTGCTTGTTGATTACTATCTAAAAAATACGTCTGGTTGAGGCTTTTAAGTAGGTCAATTGGAGTGCGTATATAAACCACATTGTGGAAAATAAGAACTTCTAAAGCCATCAGCAGGTGTACTTCGGTTTTTTTAGTGCTTTGTTTATTTATTTTGTGTTTCAGTACCTACGATTTTATATACCTACTCAATTTTGAGAAAGGCTCGGGAGGTACACTCCCGTAACGTTGCCGCCAAGGAATCTGTGAATGACACAAACCTCACCCGCAGCCGCATGGCGGCAGTTGTCATTGCTACAGCATGTTTAAAAAAAAGAATAGAACGTAGTCGAAAAGGTCAACGCCTTTGGTGGACAAAAGAAATATTTCGCCAGCGCTATTTTTATTGTGGCACGCCTTTTCCCGCGTAGTGCATAACACAGGATATTTTTTATAAGCTTCTTTTAATTAAGCATTAATTTTGGTTTGGACATTTTAGTATCTATTAGGTACACAAGTATATTATTGTAACACACTTCCTTTTCCCGTATGGTGACTGTTGTGACGTGTTGACACACCAGGTCCGGCGGAAGTGTTGGCGTATTGCCGCGCTACGGGAAGTTTGCGTAGCCTTAGTTAATGCCTCACTATAGGGCAGCTCGACTTCGTCATTGCAATGCATCACTATAGGACCGCTCGGCTTTGCCGTTGTAATGGCTTATTATGGAACAGCTCAACGTGGTTTGTCATCGTGCCTCACTATAGGTTTTGATGCCCAACCACCTGAGAAAGGTCGAAGTTATGCCCAATTTCTGTCGTGATCTGTAACCCTTCCCATGCGGCCGTTAAAGCGAGTTTTCTCTGTTTGTGTGCTACGGGTGATCTATTCATGGTCTGGATATGGTACATTGTTGTCTGCCTTCGATTGACACCATGCGGCCGTTAAAGCGAGTTTTCTCTGTTTGTGTGCTACGGGTGATCTATTCATGGTCTGGATATGGTACATTGTTGTCTGCCTTCGATTGACACCTCCACAAGACCTGGTGCTACACGAATCCTGTAGTTATGCATCTGTGCGCATGCGCAAACTGAGAAATGCCAACGTTCTTATTCATGGAGACTTTTTTTTGAAATGTTCACCATAGATGCTTCTAGCAAAGAAAAACATAGCGTATATAGCTATGACCTTTTGGAAAGTTCTGATCGATGCATGGAAAATGCGCTAAAGTTACTCGCCTTAGGGCGAAAACCTTTTTCAATTTTTGTTGGTATTACCAAAATTTCACTTGAAAGTGAAAAAGAATTGCAACATGTAAAGCACATCTGTCTCTTCAAAAATTTCCAGAATCTGTCTCTTCAAAAATGTCCGGAAAGCTATTTCACTTTCGACTTTCAGTAGGTATGTAAAATGGACTATATAAACGTACGACAAATGCAATGAGCTGGTTTTCCCTAATATCAAAAAGTTGCTAGGAATGTTTGCAATTACAGTCGCAACTGCAACCCAGAGAACAAAATCGGCCATCAAAGACTCGCAGGTATAGTTTGACAGTCCACATCAAGGACATGGTATTTAGTTTAGCTGTCATTGTTTCGATATAAGAGGGTCGATATGCTTATTTAATGCGCGTAAGGTCAGTATAAGCCCGAAAACAGGACCTATTTAAACGTGATCCTTAATGTATGGGACGATAGGGGTCAATATCTTCGACAGACTAAGTCCAGCATTTCGAATTTCCCGCTCAAATTTGACGTCACACTAATAGAGTCTAATACCACTTTACATGCGCATGCCTTTAGTGGCAAGTAAAACTTTTGAAAATGGGAAAGGCGTGGGGGGGGGGGACAACCACACGTTTTACCCATCATGGTATTCTAATCAACGGTCTCAATAAAAGGAACTGTTTTCTACGAACTATCGCCCATTTTTCTGACACGGAAAAAATTAGAAATTACTACAAACGAATTTTTGAATGTTTAAGAAATCTTTTTTGAACCTTTTTGAATCGATATTGAATTTTTTCAGTGTTATATTTTAAAAAACAGAACTTAATATGCTATTTTTAGATTGATATACAGGGTATGCCATTTAAATAAAATTAAGTTAGATCCAATAACTTTTTAACCCGATAGTACTGTATAATTATTTATTTTGAAAACCGCAGATTGTTTATCAATAATTTTCAAGAAACATTTTTTTGTTTCTGTTTTACTAAGAATATATACGGTCATTCTGAAATTGAAAATTGTTTGATTTATCTCCGTATCTCTGAAGCAAAAATGTGCAAATTTTGATTTTACCATTGCAAGTTTGACTCAAAAAGAGCTCATAACGCCTATAACAGTGTCGAAAATGGGACACCCTGTACATGAAACACTATGTAAAATTCCAAAAGGAAAATAAAAATGTATTTTCATTTAAAAAAAAGTTGTTGGTTTTAATTTATTTTTGAGCTTGTGCTCTTTTTAAACTTTAAAACTTAATACGGTAAAATCAAAATTTTCGCTCGGGTAAGAAATACACGGAAAACCACAAAATTGTTAATTTCAAAATGATTATCGGCCCGTATGATAAAGCCATACAGCATACTTAACTATGTTGTCAGCTAACAGTGTTGTTAAGACATGTGATTGGGTGTTTTTACAAACAATAACATCATTCTTAAGCCGGCCCGTGTGTCGCAGTTGAGTTGAAGCTGGACTGCGGTACTAAGGGTCCCTGGTTCGAATCCGGGTACAGGCATGGGCATTTGTAAATGTGTAGTGGGTTAGGTTGGTAGAGCAGCCTTAGCTGAAACCCCGCCCACTCAATATTACAGACAACAAGTTAAAAAAGTTTACAAAAAGCGCATTTCCACTTACATTCATTTCTCATTTGTCAGATGCAACCTCTATTAAAATCGTAAAAATCCGGCTACAAATATGAAAGATAGCGTTGCATATGTGCAATCCATTTTGATGTCCTTCAATTTCAGTTTATAAGAAGAATTTCATTTCAATGTTTTCTTAAATAAGAAAGTTGACACTGCGCATGCGCAAACCTAAATTTTGAAACTAACGTTAGATTTTCCTTTGTTTCAAGTGGCCATGTATCAAATTTCATTTAAATGCTTCCATAAATAAAAAAGTTTGCAATTCGGTTTATAATTAGTCGAGATGCGAAAAGGGCACTGTGAATTTTGAATCGATTCGACTCAACTTTTGGCATTGCGTATTATATGGCTAAAGATATGCCCGTATTGAATTTAGACAACAGTTTTAGGACCGTCTAGGCCAGAGCTGGCCAAACCGTCGATCGCGATCTACCGAGCCGATCATCTCATCAGCTTACGCTTAACTTAAAACGAGTGCGCCCAAGCGACCAAAAACCTACCATTTCGATAAATAGTAAAAAGAAGACTTTTTTACCACCCACACGTTAGTAAGTACGTATTGCATTGGGGTAAAAAGTGACCCCCCCCACTTTTTTGACGGAAATACACGTTTTGAGGCACCAGAAATCCGAATCAAACAAAATCTCGATAATGTTGGTCTGTGTCGGTCCGTCTGTACTCTCATTTCCGGCTAAACGGCTGAACCGATTGGAACAAAATTTTGTACACTTATTCTTAGATATAAAAGGGCAGAATCGCGCATACGAAGATGTGCGGGTGGTATAGCAAATCATCCCAACAGAAACCTTTTTTCATAGTAGAAGTAGCTGGTAGATCTCGAAGGATCTTACTGGTGTAGAGTACATCAAACGATACAACAGTTTGGACACCTCTGGTCTAGGCCATTGTTTAGCAGCAAACAGTGAACTTTTTTTGTAATTATCTCTTTTTGACGCATTTTTTGCAAATTTATTTGTAAAACGGTGGCTTTTAATCTCACTGTGGCCGGCGGAAATGGATATCAATAGTACGAACGGATGCGTAACATGAAAACATGAGGTATGTGAAAGGTGGCCACAAATTAATAAGCGTCTGGAACTCTTATTGTATTTACTCTATGTTACTACATATTTACCCAATTAAATGGGTTAACTAACAGAAACAAATGACACCACATTTGCATTAGCTCTTAAATGATCAAAAGATAACCTGATGACTCTATTACAAATTTTGCCAAGTATAATGTTGGTGATAATTTTCTTTGATTTAAAACGTTTACACAATTTAAGTAAGATTTCAGTTTATTGTTTGAGAAGACTAAGGTCCTTTTGTAAAACTGCTCTTTTACCTTACCCTGTTAGGCACACGGAATATCTTATCCTTTTTTATATGCTTACTTACCGATTTTCTTTAAATTTGACACAGAAGGTTATTTAAAGATGAAACAAATTGTACATACCTGGTACATAACGAAGCGCTTTCATTATGTAGGAAACCATAGATCCCCCACTACGTTTAGCATGTGCAACTTCATTAATAATCTTTGCAGCGATAATTTTTAATCTTTCCACTGTAAACTGGGTTTGGTAAAGTAATTCGCGCAGCCAAATAACACCACGTTCGAATTTGGCGGGCTCCAATTGTAAAATAATAGACGCCGTGTGCGCGTAAATGCCACACTGAAAACGGCCGGAATCTAACCCGCACAGCCCCAGTTGTTTTCCGGCGGATACAGTGTCGTCTTGCAATTGTGCAATGACATCTTCGTACGGAATGATTTCGCCGTTTCTATTGATGGGAGACTCCAAAAGAGTTTCCAGAAGAATCGGTAAATACGGTCTTAGTTCCATGGGAACATTTGAGGTATCCATTAACGCGGCTAACTGAAACGAAACTGTTAGCTAAAAAAAATGTCATTTTGCTCAACTCACATAAACGAAGCCGCTTTTTAGGTGGTCGAAATACGTAAAAACGGGCGTATTAGAGAGATTGATGTGATTCTGATTAGAGGAAAGCGTGGTGTAGCGCGTTACTTCATGGAAATTAATCGACTTCACATTAGGAATTGGTACACACGTCAACATTGAATCGGGAGGAGGTCTTTCATTGAACTCGATAGCTTTCACGAGTTCATCCGCTTTTTGTGCTACACCAGTTTCGGTGAGGAGCTCAACTTGAGCTTCAATTCGGGATTTTTCTTCGGCCGCCATTTTTTGTTGCTCCTCCGTACTCGGCACGCCTTGTATTGCCACGACAATGTTATTAACAAACCATTTTGACAATAACTGTACCCAGTATTCCTTTGGCTCCTGGTCCATTTTCTCTAAATGGGCCAACGGATTGATGCGCTGCTTTAAGTCTTCCTCGGAATGCCCGAATAACATTTGATTAATTAATAAATTTGCGACTGACGAATGGGGACTAATCTCTAAATTGCTGAGATACTCGAGCTTTTGTCTGTTGATGATGGATTTTAAACGTTTCATGTCTATATCTTCCTGATCGACGATCGCCTTGAAAACTGTGTCTAGCTTTGGTTTAATTAAATGAAGTTTTTCTTTCGGTACCCCTTGGAACATTAGGTACAGACATGTTTCGGAATTTTCGTACAGACTATACGAGACCTACAATGATCACGAAATTAATATGATGAACTTAACTCCAGCCAATTTTCAAAAATTTAGATGAAGCTCAAAAAATATATATATACAATGTCCCAAATCAAGTGTTGTCGTAAGAACTGCATTCAGTACTGCGCAGATTTATCATTTTAAAAAATGACGAACTGTGTCTTGAACAAAACAAATAGGGCCGACTGCCCGTAATTTAGTGTTAAGAAATGCTTTTCAACCGTCGCGAAAACTAGCAGCAGCCTCGTTTCAGGTTCTCTCCAGTATTTAAAGAAAACCACTTCCACACTCCTAACGGATTTCCAAAACAACTGCTAATCAACGACCCAACGCGCCAAACGTCCCTAGTTCTCCATATAAAATGCGCAATTCTTCTCTTAACAGCGTGCCTGGCAAGATAAAATTTAAACATGAATTACGCATTGACGAAATTTTTGAAAGGAAAAAAACAACACTGAGATAAAAATTTAAATGAAACGAATCAACTTTGTACTTTATCCGTAAATAATCCCCCAGATTAATGGCAAAAAAATCAAACTAGTTATTAGCAGAGCCACAAAAATGCCTATACCCGAAAACCTGTGCTATGCTTTTTGAGAAAAAATTAAACTACAAACTTTGGAGCTTAGCTCCCAAACAATGCACTTTGGATCTGATTTATTATTTAAAAAAATTGTTGTTTTGGCTCCCTCTACTAATTTTTTTGACAGACAATTATATACTGTTCTCCAAGGAATAGTTCTGCAGGTGTAGTTGTATAAATATTTAATTGAACAATGAAAATCAGAATGTGTCCGGAATCCTCGTTAAGGAATGCGCCAGCTTGGAATAGGTATTTTAAAAAAACGTATACAAAATTTTAAATCCAAAAGCTTAATCAAAGATCCTATTAACACGGTATGCCTTATGTTTATTTTGGACCTTCTCCTTTCAGAACGTTTTCTTAAGCTTATTTTTATACGCAACCAATACCTGTGTGCATGTTGTCCATCTACGTATTTAAGGGTTCAAGATCTCACAACTATACAGATGCAAAAAAATTGGCGCATGCGCAACCCAACTTTTGTATTTGCGCAATCCTCGACGCAAAAAAATTAATGCCAACCCAACTTTTGTATGCGCATCCAATTTTCATTTGTTCAAATATTTAAATGAAATTTTGCGTCTAGGCACCTCAAACAAAAGTGAAACTAATGCCTATGCAAAAAATTTGTTTCGCGCATGCTCAATTAATTAATTTTTTTAATTTGTTGATATTTAAATGAAATTTTGTATGTAGGCGCCTCGAATAAACCGCTTAAGATATGTTGTCAAAATGATGGATGCGTAAAGATCTCGAGGAATATATTATTACAAGCAATTAATTCTGCAATACAATTTAATACTAATTTACTACCTTGGTTTTTCCTAGCCTCTGTGAATTTTCAAAATTTATTTTTCAATTAAATCCACGGGCGGACTGGCCCGGAGGTGGTGGGTGGCAGACGCAGACCCCCCCCCCCGCCATCTTCATTACACTAATACTTTAATGGCCCATAACCTATGCAATTCCACCTGGCCCGTAAGTACCCAGTCCGCCCCTGATTAAATTTGTTCGTTTTGCTTCTATACCTTACTTCATTCTCACACCACAACGTTCAATTATTTTTGCTATGCAAGTTAGGTAGTTCTGCACGATCATGTGTGTGCCTTGGGGTTCAATTAGTTTTAATCCAAAATTCTAAGTTGTGCAGTCCTTTGGGTCTAGCCTTGATATATTACAAGGTTAAAAATGTTGAAACTTTGAAAATTTAACAAAAAACAACAAAAAATATAATAATTACACAATACACATACAATGTATTTTTATTAAACAATCGAACGAACGACTTGGCAAAAAAAATTACAAAAAATTAACGACGATTTTATTGCAAGTATCCTAAAAGAGGTAGGGGATTCAAGAACAAGGAAACATCTGGCCATACAGTCATACCAAATGGAAGTGTACAGCGTGTATTATTGTAAAATGGCAACTGTAAATTCAACAGTTTTCCTGACAGCCATTACAATTCTTCTTACCAGTTAAGCCATGATGTGTAAAATATAAAAACATTATAGGGTAATACATTCCAGTTCTGTCAAAAAAAGTCGAGTGGAAGAGGCGTCGAAATCAAAACAAAATTAAAAAATATTTGTAATTTTGATGACTCTTTAAGGGTAGCTTCCAAAAAACACCCTCTCTCTATTGGAAAAAAAATGTTTGTTTTGGTCCCCCCTATCACACCCAATTTTTTTGCACAATGAACACCCTGTACAAAGCACCTAAATAAATTTGGCTAAAGCAAGGAGATTGTGGTTGGTGAATTTCTTATATACATTTTACTAACACTGGATGCTGGGACATTGTTCAGGTACCAATTTAACCTTACCCACCGGAGAAGTCTACTCACCAAATTTGCAAATGGATCATCGATTTCGACAAATTCCTGCTGTAAGGGGGCCACAGAAAAATCCGTCAAATACTTCAGCAATATTGCGCAAGCGCTTACTTCGGCATTCGCTTTAACAGCCGAAGGACCACGCCACGAAACACTAACCATTCCCGAAGTTTCATCATCCGAGGGATATTTTATTACAATATCTTCTGCCTGCTCAACAGCCGGACAGGGATTTTGCCACGGTCTGGTAAAAGGGCCTCGATCACCCTAAAGTTTAGGTTTATTGTTAATTAACGAAATCTCCAAACTACCTTTTCAATAATTTTATTTTCGACCGGCTCTAAGGCACGAAAGACATCGTCGGGTTTGATAAGGCCGACAATTATTAGCCTTAGATTTTCGGGACGATAAAATTCTTTGTGATATTTTCTGACCTACAAGACATAAGTGAAACAATTAATATTTTAAGCTGTGTCTGAACCTTTGCATTTGTGGTAGATTCTCTAAGATTTTTCATTATGCCCCCAGTTTCAGAGGAATATCCGCATTTACCGGGATACATTTTTCGTTGCATTGTTAAATGTAGTCTCGATTCACCAGAATTCTCACAGCCTTGCATTTCACAGTAAACAACACCGGCATCTTCGCCGGTGCCGGTTATATGGTGCACCTCGGTAATAAATGCCTCTTCCTACAGTAGGCTGTTTAATTGTTTGTAACGGATTTGTACACTTACAGAAAGAATGGGGTATAAAATATGGTCGATATAAATAGGCATAAGTGACAAAAAGCCTTCGTATCCAGCAGTTTGCATTGTATAACAGGTATGATCAACATCAGTCCAGGCATTCGTACCGGATGCCAAACATCGATTGGCCAATAAATCTAAAACCCCTTTGTACGGGTACAATTCACTGCCTAAAAATATCAAATGCTCCAGGGTGTGTGGAAGGCCGTCATCATCAAAGGCTTCGGTAGCTGAAAACATCAGTTAGGCTACAAATTCACCATGCGTTATTAACTTACCTAAACAGAAAAAACCACTAACGACAGGACCGTCGACCTCTGTGATGACAACAGTGAGGCCTGTATGTTTAGATTTAAATTCGTACACTGGTATTCTATTAAAGGCTTTAACACAGTGCACCAGCTCGAAAGAGCCGGAAACACTTGTGGGTGTAATATCAGCGGGCGGCATCTCGTAAAATATCACTATTTACTTATCAGACTATTAAAAGTATCTGCCAAACGGAACTTGAAAGGTAGGGGTTGACGATCGCCGTGGAATACCTAATTTTAAAGACTTTTAAAAATACAAGACCATTGACCACCAAAGATTCCCCTTGCTTCCCCAAGGTTGTTGAGAATACGCATGTGCGAAGTTCCAACCCTTTTCTTCCAATAACCGTCATGTATGGGTTTTTGTAATACGATGGTTAGACAACACACATTGCGTTTAATGCAGATTCTGTGCTTCCATAACAGTGGCGTAACTAGAAGCGTGCCTGGTTGTTTTGCTTCTGTGCTATGCATAAAAGCATTGATTATACGTTGTGTGTATATAATTAATCAATGATAAAAGCAACTGCTGATGGGCTCCGGCTTCGCAGAAACTCAAGAGCCAGTGTTCATGCAAATGAAACTTTATTAACGATTAACAAATAATAATGGCGATTTTGAGGTACAGACACAGAGTTGTATACAGGGTGTTAATGACCGCATGTAAAAAAAATGGGTGATAGAGGGGATCAAGACAAGCACTTTTTCCAAATAAATCGAGGGTCCAACGTGTTTCGTTTAGGAGCCACCCCCAAAGAAGTGGTGAAATTCGGATTTCTTGTTTAATTTTTTTCTCAGCAACCAATAAGAGTTACAAAGATGTCTTTGAATAAGTTTTCGGGTATGCCCTATTCGATTTTGAAAATTTTTTTTTCAAAATTCCAATCACAAAAAGGCGCACCTCTACTTGAGGGTGCGAAAAAAATTCTGAACATGAAAATCACGAATCTGAAATTAGTTTTTAAAAATTCGAAAAAAAAAGTTCCGCTGCAATTCTTGGCCGGACAACAAAAATGGACCACGGAATTATGTTGTGTACATACTTGATGAGTTAAGGAACAAAATTGTCGAACAATTTTTTAAAATCACATTTCAAACAAAACAAATCCATTTTCGTTATCCAGCCCAAAATAGCGGTACTTATTTCAGAAAAGTGCTTGTCTTGATCCCCTATATCACCCAATTTTAGCGCATTTTTTAAGAATTAAAAAAAAATGTGCTATTGTTTGCGGTCTGTCCGTCCGTCCGGACCCACTTCCACCGTTTTGAAGTTCTTCTAGGGGAATGGTCCTAGAGTCCTGCAATTTTTTGCAGTAGGTAGCCTATACCTTGAAGGTGTGCGAGACGGCCATCAAATTTCGCTGTCTAAAAGGGGGGCCCTCCCACGAATTATTTCCTGAGATGCTGTTTTTGAGAGTAAAACGTGCATAGCTTTTACATACGACAACCAATTGGTCTCAGATTTTGTATACTTACGCATGCCTTTAGTAGTGCTAAGTTAAACTTTAGGAAATGGGGTGGGGGGGGGGGAGTTAAACACAGGTTCTACCCCTCATAGTATTCTAATGAAAGGTCTCACCGAAATAAATTGGTTTGTACAAACAATAACTTTCCTATGCGACTCTTTCGAGATCAGTGAGCGACGGGGCCTGTGGGGGGGTTAAACATTAATTTTATCTCTCATTGTATTCTAATTAAAGGTCTCAACGAAAGGAACCGTTTTCTACCAACTACTGCCCTTCCTTCTGTCCTCTTATCAAAGTACGGGGAGGAAGGGGAGGTGGGGGGAACTAGTTTTATCCTAGGAATTAATTTCTACCAACCATAGCCCTCCTCCTCGACCTCTTGTCGTAATCGGGTATATTCCCTTATACCTCAAGAACGGATTGTCGAAAGAGGGTTCTTACCAAGAACATCGCGGATTATTAGCTTAAATACGGCAAACAGTAGCAAAATCCGGCTTTGCAGACCGCGTTGGCTCGTAAAGGGAGTAGTAGTGACGTGGGTAGTAATAATGAATGAACGAATGAGTGAAATAGATCAACGAGAAGAAATTTAAATGCTACATTTGCGCAAAAGTTGGACACAAGCGGGCGGAGTGCCCAGACATGAGATAAGGACAAAAATGTGTCGAAGGACAAGACGGAAAGTGTATACAGAGGCAAGGCGAATGTCAGTAAGTAGTGTTCGTGAGTCTGTCGGTGAACGTGGCAAGCGATTCGCAGAAGAATGCCGTTTCGTGGATTCTCAATTCGGGCACATCGGATCATATGGTTTGGCCGATTGATTGGTTGCGAGACGTTAAGAAATTGGATATACAAGTGCTGATCAGAGTGACTTCTGGACAGACGCTTGAGAGCAACTACTGTGGTGCTGTTTGGACATAATGTCAATCGAAGATAATAAATTTCACGTCTCAGAACTAAGATAGAATTTATTTTCGATCCAAAGTGTCCGAGTATTGGGGATTCAAGTGGTGTTTCGGAAGAACAGTGCCGAAATTCTGCGAAATGGCGAAGTTGTTTTCACCGGAAAACGAAAAGACAAACTGTATGAACTGAATGGACGAAAGGAGAACCGGAAGAAACTATAGTCGGGGAACAAGAGCTGTTTTTTCGTGGATTATGGTGTCAACAGCTATCGGTTGTGGCATGGACGAAAGGTATTCGTCGGCCGGGACGTCGTCGTCGAGAAGCTTCTTTTGAAGCATTTTTCCCATAGTTCTTAAAATTGTATATAGTGTAGAAAAAACATCCCTACCATGAGGCTCATATAAAAATCACGAGGCATATACGAGTATATGAGGCTGAATTCTTTATAGCAAATTTTTCATCAACAAATGGAGGCCGGGATTGCTAACCAGCCATATCCCTCCATAAATTTAGACTATATGCATAAACAAGTTGTAAATCAGCATATGCATGATTAAAGCGCATTTTTGGTAATGCAGGTCAGTATTTTATTAGCGAAGTTTAAAAATTATCGATCTCACGAGTAATTTTGGCTGCGTTAAATAATTAATTTTATTTAATTTCAATTGACGGTACGTCTTCATTTTGTAAAACAAATCACAAAGTAAATAATAAGTTTTTATACTGGTAGCGCTATCTAACGGTAAAATTATAGCACCTCCGAAACCCATATCAAAATTATTTTCTTCAATTATCGATCTCACAAGTAATCAAGAACACATGACTACACTAACTGTAAGCACGGATATTCATACTTACAATACAAGGAACAAAGAGAATCTTTATATACCGTTTCATAGATTAAACAAGACCAAAGATGGCACTACATTTTACGGCATGAAATTTTTCAATGTCTTGCCAAAACAAATAAAATATTTAGATTTGCACGCATTTAAAAACTGTGTAAATAGTTACCTTAAACGAAAAGCTTTTTATTCTTATGAAGAATTTTTAAAAGATAAATTTGATAACATTTAAGTTTTAAAAGCAACAGTACCTTGTGTGATCATGTTCTCGTGTCCTTTGTCTTTTTTTTTTAATATTATGTAATTGTACCTGATGACGTGTGAAAATACTATTGTATAGATCACAAATAATAAAATGAAATGAAATGAAAATGAAAATAATCTAACTCAAAATAGACTAGTGCCTGCACATCTACACTATAGCAGAAAGCTTTTAGTGAAAATTTGAATTCTCTAGCTATTGTAGTTGTGGAGATCTCACGCGGACAGCCGGCCTGCCAGCAATAACGAATATAATAGCGTATTTTTTTCAAAAATGCGCTAAAAATCCGTAGGTAGGTACGCATTGGAAGCAAAAATAGAAGGTGGGGGACACTGTCCGTAGAGTCCAAGCTTCAAATACGAATATCTCGAAAAGTGATTGTCGAAAAAGCGGCTACCTACTCACAAAGACGAAATGGAGGGCTCTGGAAGACATTCGATGATGGTACTCGAACCGATTGAGCAGCCCGCAACAGAGATACCTATCTTGAGAATGAAGCTATGAAAGTGGGTACCTACGGACAAAGAAAATAAATTATAATATTAAAATAACAGTAGACATGTTCCACCATACACCTAATATGCTATATAATTAACTGAGAGAATGCGTTATCAGAAATTTACTTTCGAACTCACGTTCTCATTAATTGGCGACATATTCACGTTAACATCTCTTAAGGATTTTATCTAAAGAGAAATCGGTTCTATCGAGTTATAAAAAATTACCTCACTATATGGAATAAGAAAGTTTTAACGACCTAAATATTAACTAAACCGCAATATTTTCAATAAGTGTATATCCTTTTGTATTGTTTCAAATGTATTTATCCTTCCCTTCAAACCAAAATTCATTGTTACGCAAGGTGTGTGCAAGGTTTCGTTTGCTTCGTAAATGACACCATTGCCGATTTACCTGTGCATCTAAGGTAAGTACCGTGCAGCTTCAATTAAAAGTGGCGTTCCACTTTTTCCCTAGAACATAGAAAGTTTGAGTTATTCACATAATTTGAAGAACGTTGTGGTAGATGAGATGTCCGCTTTTCATTATATGGTCTTGTTTACAGCCACACGTACTATGGTACCCTATACTACTCATACTTTTGTATGGGTATAACTATTCATTACGCTACATACCTACCTACTTACTAAGTAGTAAGTGTATACATCTGGTAAATGTGATAAAGTAGGTAAGTAGTTTCTCACACAGATTCGAATTTAATGAGACATTTCCGTGGAAAATGTACTACATTAACATTTTAATTGTGAGCGCTTAGCTACAACAAAATCGTGACCAAAAAAGGTACCTAATTACCGAAAAAGTCCCCACTTTGGTTGTAGACGCATTACAAGGTACAAACAAATAAAAATTACATGAAGTTTATTAAACTCAGAATTGATTAGAATCCCATATCATAAAATAATAATAAAGGATGCGTGTCATAACACCTTAAAGGAACTTGAATTCGCAGTTAAAATATAGTCACTATTAACATAATTATTCGCTACATTGAAACGCAATTATTTTCTAAATTTGGCACTCGAAAAGGAATAACGGCGATGGTCACCCGTTACATTTATTGTTATCTAATGTTTATTTACTACACTGATATTAATTACTTAAAAACCCGTCTCTTCTGTACTGTCTGGGTAAGAAGTAAGAGGGGACCATTCATTCGCGGCAACCTTTGGCAGTATAGGTTTAGCCGACAGTTCCATTAGTGATCCTTGGCGGGTTATTTTAAATACTTTTATGCAGTGATGAGATAAAATTGATAGGACACTTTGTTGTTGGGTGAAAGTTTTGTGCGATGACCAACGTTGAAAACGGAAACAGCAAGGTGATTTTATTATTGATTTTCAAAAATGTGCTTTTAAGTAAATGGTACCATGCAGGTATTACGCCCAAAATATTAATAAGTACTTGGGAAATTTTAGGTGATTATTAATTCGGTGGCGAATGCTTAAAAACAAAATGTAACAAAAAAGTTCGATTTGCATTAGCCTTGATTGGAATCGGATTTTTTAATAACAAAACCGCGTAGCAGATACATAATGAGCTTGTATACCTACAATTTATAAAGATAAACGATCATTTCTAGACGTTTATGTTAATTGTGTTTTCAATTTTCTAAGGTGTGCTAAGTGCATAGTCTTATAGGTATGTTCACCTTGCCTTCATTATTTTCACAAAAACAAACAAAACAAAGTATAATTTCAAAAGAAATAGGTATATTTTTGACCTCATGTACATAAACCGAACCATAGTACTGGATTACATGGTCAAACTAATTTTTATCTTGTTTTAGAGTGTATAATGAGTGTATTCATTGAATACCTACCTACTCCAAATATAGTAGTTTTCTGTCACTTCCTGTTTGCTGGGAAGTCGCCCTCCATTTAGAAATTTCATACGGCTAATGGCCGTTTGCACCGACAAATGGAACTAGGAGCTTAAAATCCATGCCTTGGAGTTTAAGCTACGGTTAAGCTAAGTTCCTGGTTCTACTTAAATTGGTCGGAGCAAACGGCCATTGCTCCATTTTTAGCTTCCTAGCATGTGCTAGGTAGCTATTGCGATAGCCGTTTTTTGAACATTTCAAAATTTCATCAACGTCGACGTTTTAGACCATTTTAAGCAACTTTTAAAGAATAAAATTTTTTTCCGTCTGTACGTACGTTTGTTGGCAATTTTCTGAGAAAACGGCTCGACGGATTTTGTTGAAATTTTATATATATGTTTTAGGCATACCGAACAGAAAAATAACGGGCCGGATTTTTGAAAAAAAATTTTGGAGCGCCGTAACGGCATCGAACTTTTTTTTTCAAATAGCAACCTAAAATTTTTATTCTATTATTTGGAAGACCTTATTTTCCTGTGTACAACCTACAAAAAATTGGGCCGGGTTATATTATCAAAAAACGGAGAAAAAAATTGTCAAAGTCAAAAAATTGTGTTGCATATGTGCAAAACGCAACGATCTTGTTTCTGAAGCAATTTAAACGAAATTTCTATGGTAAGTCCCTTTAATAAAAGCAAACAAAATGCATGCGCAAAAATCGTGTTGCGCATGCGCAGAAATGCAACTTTCTTATTTATGGAACAATTTTAACGAAATTTAGATGGTAGGTCCTTTTAATAAAAGCTAACAAAATGCATGCGCAAAAATAGTGTTGCGCATGTGCAACATCCAACTTTCTTATTTATGGAGCAATTTTAACGAAATTTGGATGGTAGGTCCCTCTAATAAAAGCAAACAAAATGCATGCGTAAAAATTGACGTTTTAGATCATTTTAAGCAACTTTTAAAGAATAAATTTTTCCCGTCTGTAAGTGCGTACATATGTTGGCAATTTTTGGTTTCAGCTAGGAAGCTATTCTGTCAAGAAATTGACACCTGGTTTTAAATAGAATCGCAACGGCTTTCTGTGTATTTTGAAGCGCCCTGTATATATGCCTTTTAAATGACTGCATAAATTTGCTAGTCTACGGCAGAATAAAAGAGTTAAATGCTTGACACTCGAACTTCGGGCGAAATACATTTTTCAAACCTAGGTAGCTCTTTAATAACAATTTTTCTCGGTACCTACAGCTCCGCACCCTGACACACCAGACAGATTTAATTCTGGCGATAAATCCCTAATTCTAGGCAAATGTGGCCAAGATCAAATAGTTAAATTTCAAACGGTCCGTCACCAAATTGTGACAAACACATAAAATGAGTCAATAATATTAATCGTAATAGAGCATAAGACTTCTCTTTTGCTCGTTAAAGGGTCGGAATGAACTTGCGTAATTTTACATAAATAAAATTTATTTTACAAAAACCAACCAATACACTCCTATCAAAATGCAATTGGACCAAAAAACCATAACCCACATATTATGGGTGTTCAAATATATAAACATTAAAACAGCTACCCAGAGAAACTTAAAGTTACTTACAGTTTTCGATTCAAAATATTCAAATACAGTCCGAACACATCAAAACACTAATTAAATCAACGGAAACAGATACCTCGTGGTACAAAAAACTGGGTTTTTATATTTCATTATCACCGAAACGGTTGTAGTTGCGTTTATTATTAATATATCTCGTTGACGCAGCATACTCAATCGCAGACTTGAAATAGCCTGTTCCTTAGAAATTAACTTAAAAAGTTCGCAGACGTGCCTCCTTCAAAAATACTCGCGCCGAACTGGCCAAAACAAGCCCATTCTTTTTACAACAGGAATAAAACTTCGTTACGAACTGGCAACAAATAACTTTTTCCAACAACGGCAAACTTGGCCCCAAAATTTTACGGAAAAAATGTACTTCTAGACAGCAACTCTTCTTTAGGCGTCCTCTGGTATTGAAACGGTTTTCCCTACTAATTCTGTCCACGGATTAATCAACCAATTACCTCTAAACAATTACCTTTATAAAAATAAAGTTTAGAAAAGTCTAACATAAACGCAAAGTTCAATAAATCAGATTCAAGCTGTCACAAACGCATTAACGAATACATTGATCAGAAAAAAATTGAGGTACAAAATTTTCTTAATTTTAATCAATTCCAAGAAATACTCTTTTTTTACGAGAAAAGTAAACAAACGAGATATCTCGACTACAAGATCGATTATGAAAATTGTTTTGTGTTCATTCAGCAATAATACCAACGAAATTGATTAAAACAAATTTTGATAACATTAATTAATAATTAAAACACCAGAAATCATTCCAAACGTCCCAAACTGACATTGTTTACACTAGCAATACAATTAAAACAAATATAGCAAAATGAATTACTGCATCTGACAAGATTCCAAAAAATAAGATATTTTGAACACACTTTTTGTAAGATGCTCCAATGTTTAAATGAAAATATAAACTTCGTTTTCTTGAAGTAGTAAAATTTTAGGATCTTAAGATGATCTCGAAATATAAAAATATTCTCCGAATATGTTTGAACATCTTTTAAAATGTTTAGAGTTGTTGGAGTCTACAGAACCCTTCTCTTCACTGTGCGCATATACAGAGTGAGCAGGTCTAACATGAGTTGGACAGACGACATTCTTACCCTTAGTCATCGTCTAAGGTTTTACCACTTGTGTACTTTATTGAGGACTTGCTGCAAAGAATTTATTTTGCGTAGCAGTACCAGTACCCATGAAATTTTGTTCAAAATCGGCGCAAAAATTTAGCTTGCAGGCCTCTGCAAGCAGCAGTGGGTCTTGCAGTTAGGTAATGCTTTGTATAGTGAACTGTATAGACTTTCGTCCTAACATTTTGCCCTCTTACAACAGCCGCAGTTATATTTCCAAGATCGCATCTCTACTATAGAATCGTTGTTGCTGAATAAATCAGGTTTTTATACGACTTGAGCGGCCAAGGTCCAGATATAAAACATGCATAAATTAAATAGTAATTATCATATGTTGCTATTCTTTGCGTCAGCCGCCAATGATGCTTTTATTTTATCCATTCTTCCTTGGGTGATGATAAACATAATACTGAAAACAAAATTGGAATAATAATCTTCTAAATAAGAAAGGAATTAAGGGCATAAAATTTGCTCATTGTCATATTACAGTACCTATACGAATTTTTTTATGATGAGCAAGAGGATGAAGAAAGGTAGGTATAGTTTCGCCTCATTTCATCCAATCCACACTTTCGAATAAATATTGAACTGTAGTTGACCCTGCTGGATGACCTATTATTAATTAAGGTCTAAACTTTGAGCGGTCACATGTATACCTCTCTATATTTAATTTGTATTCAGAGGTTTGATTTATATGTGCATTGTCCTTTCAAATATTACGCATCTTTATCTTTAAATAGGTTATTATATTATTAGGAAAGTGCGTGAAGGTCGATAGTAAGATAATTTGCAGCATTTATTGAAAATTGCTACTAAATTATTATCAACCTAAGTACCTACATAAAACATTTGCGTAGGTACTTATAACTTTTTTCTTTATATAAAATTGTAAAACATCCGAACAATCACATACTGGACTTTGTATTCTCATACTTTGCATAAGTACAAGGTGTAAAGTGTAGTAGGTACCTATGTAGGTAGGACACCATGACAAACATTTCTTCGAATAACCAGAGGTCCGAAATGTTCCATTTAGGAACTGCACCCCCAAAAAAGTGTCAAAATTTGGGTTTTTCTAATTTTTTCTCTTACTGCAGCCGTAACACACATAAAATGATCAAATCCAATCACTTCACCTAGTTTCTTGGCATCCTCTTTCAAATTTTGCTTTTGCCCCAATCTGGACAAACCATGATATTTGGTAAATGGTGACTAAAAGAGAAAGAAAAACCTTCTTTTTTTAAAATTTGAAGTAACATCTTTGAACCCGAACTACAGAAGAATTGAATAAGTAGGTACAAACTGTGCATAACTCTTGTGCAGATAAACCTAATTCGTAGATGATTAAATCGAGAGAGGGGACGGGAGGACTTTGTAAGTACCTTACTCCATTTGCGAGATATTCGCCAGTAAATGTGTCTCGTCCAGACGTCCCACTTGCCCTTTATGAGTCCCGTCTTCCTGTTTTGAGATTTTGCCTTTGTGAGCACTTTCCTCTGGCACGCCGTTTTCGAGATATTCGCTCTTAAAGTTGTTCTGATCTTAACTCACTGCCTGGTTCGAAGCTAACAAAACAGATTTTATAGTCAAGTGAAGTTGAAATTCCAGCATCAAAACACCGTTCCCACAAAAGAATGGCACATGATCGGATCGTCCTTTCGTTACACGAAGATAATACAATGACTCGGAGTTCAGTCAGAAAACCCGGGAACTTGGTATGATAATAAACAGTGGGCTTAGTTGCCACATTGGTATAAAGCTCAGACCTCCGTAATTTCCAGTAGTACATCGTAATACTCCCCTGGCATTGACCACCTGCGTTACGCAGAAAACTATATCTAGAACTAAAAAAGTGTAAGCATGGGACGCCGCCCATTGGTATGGCGGTCCTTGTTTACGGATGCTACGCTCCTAAAATTTAACTTAACCTGCAAGCCACCCATGTTTTCGTCCCATCGGATGATTTTTTAAATTTCAAAAAGTGTTCAACACAAAAATATTGTTGCTGTGTTCAGAAGGAACGATTAAGTAGTACATTTTAAAAATCCCGCGCTTGATTGAATAAGGAAGCGCAACACTCCATCTAGCGTGCTTTTTGTTCAATTTAAAAACAAAACAATCTGATAACATTATGTTCAAGTTGTTCAATAAACAATTACCTATAAGAAAAGCTGACAGGATTTCGGAAGAATATAATAAAATAGAAAGTTGAAATGCTAATTGCCAACTTGATCGTTAAGATTCATATTTTATTTTGGTTAGCATTAATTTCCTTATTAGCTTTCTTCATTGCATTGGTGTATTACCATTTACCGGTATTACCATCGAGTTTAAATCGTAATAACGCAGGTGATTGATCGCGTTATTAATAAAATAATTAATTTAATTAGTTATGGACTACATTAACAAACAGATTAGAAACAGTAAATTTGTCCAATTAGGTGAAAGGTAGACATTTTCCCATTGATAATAGTAATTAACTTTCATTTCATTTTTTAAATATTTCCGGACAAAAACGGATAACTGTAAGTCGGTTTTTACAAATAGAATAAGCAGATGTCGCCGTTATGCATACCTCTGAATTGTTTTGTTATTGATGTTTCACTTTTAGGTGCATGGCCTCAGGATAACCGACTTGACCGACTTGGAAAGTGGTGGAAAAGTAGCCGGTGCAGAAAACACAACAGACGCAATCACGCTACGTCGGCGTAAATTTCGCGTACGAAGGCCGCTATATGTTTCGCTATTACGCGCAGCGATCATGATATTAATTTTGTCCGGACTGGTCGCCTTTGCTGCACTATTATGGATTTACCTGGGATGGATGTTCGTACTGCAATTGCTTATTGTGATAGTTATCGTTTACTTCCTATTTACGAAAAAGTACAAATGGTTTTATGTGGCTGCGATGACGGCACCCCGCGATCTCTTGTAAGTGTTCCTCTTTGCTTTGATGATCATTGTTTTGTTTTTGTGCATTATGTTGGCTGTATGCAAGTGTTTTTATGTTGGCAGAACCGCGGAAGTGGTGGTTCAGATAACATTTCGAGATTGTAAAAGAAAATAAATGAACATTTCGTCATTTCTACTGTAGCACGTACAGTTAGGGCTATGGAAAAATGTTGTACAAGTCATTAATTTTATTTACATAATGGCCATAGATTAATTCTATTTACATTTGTAATTACGTTCGTTTTGGTAATTATAACGTAATATACAAGAAACTCGTCTTGGTCTACGTCTACCTGTTTTTCTCCAATGTTTTTTTTTGGATATAACAGTAAATGTAAACATGTTAGGTAAGGTAGAGTCATATACAGGCTGCACCAAATTGAATAGGATGATTAAAGAGCTTTAATTACAAGCATCTCCCCAATTCCTTATTATTACCTACTTGGGCATCCAAGATCAAAGTTTCCTGGGAATTTTTTAAAGAAAATTCTATATTCCTAAAATGCTTCAAAATACATTGAAGTGCCCAGTAATTGATGTTCAATAACAACACAGATTCCTAAATAAGTTTCCTAGGAATATTTCTCAGTAAATGTGGAATTTTAATGTGAATCTCGCCTCAACTTAAATGTAACCACGTTCTCTGTTGCTAGAATGTCTCCTATTTCAATAAAAAAAATTATAGCTTCAAACGTTATTTTCTTTTTAGAATACAATATTCAATAAATTATATTATCTTACTCGATACTTTTTGCCAAGTTTGTACTGGTATGAACTATATCAACTGATTTCATCTGTAAGCTACTATGAATATTTTAAGAAATGTTTATGCGAGTGTTTCTGACAAATTCTATGGATCAATTCAATATTTCTAAGAAGAATGCCTAAGACTATTCCAAGACTATTTCAAAGAAAACCGAAGATCCCTAAGAACATTTCTAAGATTTTCAAGAAAGTTTCAAGGACAAATGTCTTTAGAGTTTATAAGAAAATTCCCTTTGCAAATAGATTCCTGGAATACACCCTATCCGTTTTTCATTTCTAAAACATCTTTTTATTAGTATATCTTTGTTGATGTTTTATTGTTATAATAAATTTATTTCTTGTTTTGTTTTGCTATGTAATTATTCATTTCAGCTATGGTTTAGATACCCCAGAAATCAAATATTCAAGACATTCAATGAATAAAGAGGGAATCACATTTGGCATTTAGACGGATTTTTCAATACATACAAACAATTGCAAATAATGATAATAGAGATGCGTTCATTAAAATTCCTAGGAAGACTTAAAAAAAGCACTAAAAAATATTCTGTCTAAGAAGGTTCTTGGGATATCTATTGGAGTATTTCCAAAATGTTTTATGAGGATTTCAAAGGAAATGTTCTAAGAATATTTCTAAGATATTATATATTTTTAAACTTATGTTTCATATTTCTGTTAGGGAAACCCTCTGTATAGTGTCCGTTCGAGAGAGAGAGACAGAGTAGGAGATTGCGCCGACACGTTGAGACGTATGCGGACGTTTTTTTCAATGTTCATTTTATTGCATGTTTTGTCAAGTTCTTATTTGTTGATAAACGTGTGTGTTTAGTTCAAGAATTACTGACGTGTATGGCCTTGGCGGCCGGAAACCAGGTAATTTTACATTTCTATGATTTATGCAAAATTTTATTTGGTATTTCAACCTTTTTAAATTTACGGTGTGACTAGCCTCCCGGCTCCGGTATTCATACGAATCCCGGTTTTACTATGACATCACGCTAGTGACGTCAGCGATGACCGGGATTATTATAAATCCCGGCGGGATAAGTTATTTAAACATTCAAGATAGAGTTGATAGCATTATACACTTAAATACGTAGGTACTTTATAGGAGTATTATATTTATTCAAAATTAGTAAATATTTTAATCGTACCTACAACTAGAAAAATATAATAAATTCTGAACACTTATATATATACGAATTATATTAATAGTGTGAACTGAGTTACTCGTAGATATTAATTATTATTGTTCAAGTCTTACATTCCAAACAAATCGATTTATTTGAACATTGTGGTATTTTCTTTAAAGTTGTACATTTAACGTGCTTCCACAGGAGGCATGAAGCACACATAATGCAATCAGGTTGATTTCTGTTAATTTCTGAATTGCATAACACACACACACAGCCATTCGTTTTGCTCCCTTTTCGCAATGATTAAATTTTGGACAACTTGCCAAGCCGCACCAGAGAAAAAGTTACTGAAATATTAAACGTAAAACCCACGTGTAAACAAATCACAAACATCGCAAGTTGTCAGCCGGGATTTATAATAATCCTGGTCGTCGCTGACGTCACTAGCGTGATATCATGGTGCAACCGGGATTCGTATGAAAACCGGAACCGGGAGGCTAGTCACACCGTTAAATTTACTAAATTGGCAAAATGCTGCCTGGTAAAAATAGGTTGTAAGATTTGTCGAAAATTCCAACGAGGACTCCAATAAATTGGGGTTTGAGGTGAAGAATCCTGTAAAGCGAACTGTAAAGTAAATGATTAAAATGATTCATTAAACTTATGCTTAATACTACATTTTTTATCTAACCTATTTTTCCATTTACTCTTAGGCAGATTGTAATTCTTTTTCCTTTGGGATACGGACCTTATACCATCAGAAAGCTGAGAAAAGATCACTAAAGGATTTGTTAAAATTATTTTTTGATATCTTTAAAGATAAATGAATGGCCAGCGCATTCTCGAAAATATCATTTTTCGATTTTTTACCCCTAACTTACGGTTTTCGAGATCTCTCTATAGTGGAAATTAAAAAAATTCACCCTGTATATAATAAAATAATTATTTACCTAGTGAATTTCCAAGAATTCAAAAATAGTTATTTACATAATAAGTCATGAAAGTGGTCGTTTACATGACGCGGAGGCTTATTGAAAAGTACGAGGACGCGCAGCGTCCGAGAATCTCTTTAATGCCTCCAAGCCAGGTGGACTCCCTTTCATGACGTATTATGTATAAAATTTTACCTGAAACCGCAACATGTAGATAACTTTTCCATATAAAATTATTCATATCTGAAATTTTGATACCTAATCACGCATGTTAAAGTCACTTTATTTAATTGTTTCCATAGAGATTTCAATCAGTGTCATTTTTAATGCAGTTTGCAGTTTATGCTTTGTACTTTTCAACTATACAGTCTTTATAACTAGGTACAAAAGCAGTAGTGCAATATTCGCTCCCCACAAAGTCAAGAAAGAGGTACGAAAAGGCGTACAAACCTTTTAATGACTGGCGCAAAACTAAAGGAATAATTACTTCCACACACATATTCCATTAATTGTTAGTAATTAAAAGACCATTATCTTTTGTGTAGGTGTATTAATATTTAAAAATATCCACATAGTCTGCATTATAAATATCCAATCGTTGATTGAATAACTTATTCAATAAATGATCTAATTGTTATTTTGCATGTACTAGGACTGTAATGGGAGTCAGGCAAAAATTTTTCAGTACTAGTCAGGTAAAGATCAACTTTCTAATGTCAAAATAGCCCTGAAATTTAGATTTTCTTGACGGTTTCAGGTAAAAATTCATACCTAAATCTTAAAAACCAGAAAAATTCAATTAAAGTCATTAAGTTTTTAGTGTAATTAATATTATCTCTTTGTTTTTAGCGCATTAATGGGATATATCAAAATTTTGTTATACATGAGAAGACAAAATAAGAACAACAACACAGTTGCTGATGTATTCAGAGAGTATGTTGCGAAACACCCGAACAAAACTGCTATCATTTTTGAAGATGAAGAGTGGACATTTGAAGAGGTACGTGGGCGCCAATTAACATTCAACTCTCATTAGATTATTCTGCTGCAGGTGGAGGAGTACAGCAACAAAATTGCTAACATATTCAAAAGTCACGGCTACAAAAAGGGCGATGTGGTTGCACTATTCCTAGAAAATAAGCCCGAATTTGTGTGCATTTGGCTGGGATTATCAAAGCTGGGCGTTGTCGTGCCTTTAATCAATACAAACCAAAGACTATCACCATTAGTGCATTCCGTGACGGTGTCTAAAAGTCAAGCCGTTATTTTTGGAACCGAATTATCCTATGGTAACCTGTGGGAAATTACTTCTGTTTCTACTTTATCCGTATATTTTTTTAGCCGTTTCTGAAATACTCGATAAAATAGAATCTTCGGTGGCACTTTATGAAGTAAGCAGCGGCTCGTCTAAGCATCTTACCGACAGTACGGATCAGAGATTTCAAAATTTGAACGTGCTTCTTAAAGAAGCGCCGTCAACGCCACCTGTGATAAGCGAGGAATGTTCTCATCATGATAGTTTATTATATATTTACACATCTGGTACTACAGGTTTACCTAAAGCAGCTGTTATTTCCAACTCGAGGTGAGTTGGTAGTAGAGCCCCAGACAACATTTAATGAGTACTTTCATGCTACCCAAACAAATTATATAAAGTAATAGTTTTATACTTAGTAGCCTTGAAGGGCATGTATCCATTACCCTATATCAAAATATATCAGATAATACCCAATGGCGGTTTTCCGAGTAGGTAACAGTTTATAAACAAGCTTTCTGTGCTTTCAGATATATATTTATAGTTGTTGGCATTCATTATGTTGGAGGATTTAGATCTAGTGATCGTTTCTACACATCTCTCCCTTTGTACCATACAGCAGGAGGTTGCATGGCAATGGGGCAAATGTTACTCTTTGGTTGCACTATAGTGTTACGTAAAAAATTTTCGGCATCTTCTTACTTTACGGATTGCAAAAAGTACAATTGCACGGTAATGTTCACATTTTCCAGGAAAATGATAATGAATGGTTTTCTAGGTAGCACAATACATCGGTGAAATGTGCAGGTATATCCTTGCTGTACCACCGAAACCGTCAGATACGGATCATAGTGTAAGATTAATTTTTGGAAACGGTCTGAGACCGCAAATATGGACGGAATTCGTGGAAAGATTTCATATTTCCAATGTGTCCGAGTTTTATGGTGCGACTGAGGGCAATGCTAACATAGTTAATACAGACAATACGGTCGGTGCTATAGGATTTGTTTCGCGAATAATCCCTCAAATTTATCCCATCGCGATAATAAAAGTGGACGAAACCACAGGAGAGCCGATTAGAAATTCCAAGGGTTTTTGTATTGCGTGTAAACCCAACGAACCTGGTGCTTTCATAGGGAAAATTACCAGTAATCCATCTAGAGCGTTCCTTGGTTATGTCGACAAAGCTGCCTCAGAGAAAAAAATTATTCACAATGTGTTCAAAAAGGGAGAATCAGCTTTTTTGTCTGGTAATGTACGAGTCCATCCGGCACCTTTATCGAACTTTATTTATCTCCAGGTGATATTATTACTTCGGACGAATTTGGATATTTATTCTTCAAAGATAGAACAGGAGATACCTTCCGATGGAAAGGGGAGAATGTATCCACGTCAGAAGTTGAGGCTGTGATGAGTAATGTGACCGCGTATCGAGATGTTGTAGTATATGGTGTCCAGGTAACAGCTTGCTTATTTATTCACTTGTGTAATTGTTCCTTAGATTCAAGGTCAGGAAGGACGAGCTGGAATGGCAGCAATCTTAGACCCCGAGCACACCTTAGATATTAACAAATTGCCAAACGAAATTAGTCACGTGCTTCCCACTTACGCACGCCCAATATTCGTACGAATACTGGGCAAAATGGATATGACTGGTTCGTTGTTGATTCCACCATTCTTGTGGCAATAATTTAATTTTAGGTACATTCAAACTTAAAAAGAACGACCTCCAAATTCAGGGATTTGATCCTACCGCGACCAGTGATAGTATTTATTATTTAAACAATGGACAGTACACATTATTAAACAAGGAATCCTATGAAGATATAAATCGTGGAAAAATTCGGCTATAATTTAAGTTATTTATATTTTATAAAAGAACTGAATGTATTTTAGTGTAGCTGAAGTTTTTTGAAAGCTTATAGTGGCTTGGGTTGGGAGTAAAATTGTGCTTTCAAATGATACTATCGTAATTATTTTTTATACTGTAATATTCTTACACTGGATTCAAATTTTTATACGAATTTGTACTTATAAAAGTTATATTTTGGGTATAGATCGTTAGTTCTAATTATAAATATATTTATGTTTGTTACATGGAAGTTTGTTCTAATAGTAAGTAGGTACATTCCCGAAAGTGCATGCACACCAAAAAGTCTTATATCTGATAGCGTTAGAACAATTTTGATTTAGTACTAATCTAACTCGCTCTTATTTTAATTACAATGACCCGCTTCATTTACCTCGTCCCAAAGGTAGACACGTACCTACTGCAGTGTAACTATTTGCATCTGAAATAACATTGGTTTTCTAAACGCGGTTATTACTTTATATTGCCAATTTCCTTCTAGCTTCCTTACGGTTAAATAAAAATTAACTTTGGGTTATGAATAAGTGAAATCTAAACTGCAGTACAACTTTCTGTGTACCTATACGGAAGTCTTGTCCCTTTGGGGATGGACCTTACATTCTGCTGAAGAATCTTGAGTATATACCTATTTGTAGAACATCATCTTCTTATCGGAAAAATTCGGCGAAACGGAAGCATAATCCATAAAATTATATAAGAATTTGCAAACCAAATATTGGCGCGGAAAGTTTAAATTTAATGCTTACAATTTGCACCGTTTTCGAAACCTTATAAATTCAATGATAATATGCTTGCTGGTCCTGGTTTCCACCAAACCCTATTTTCCCAAAAAGGGCAGAATTGTCTCCATTTTAACATTGGAAACGTTTATGGTTTCGTATATGGGTACAAACTTATTATGAATTTCGCTCAACGCGAAAAGACAACGGTTTCGCATCAAATGACGATTGTGTCTCACCTTCCAACACATAAAAGACCGCCTTAGTAAAAAGACAAAGTAGGAGTCTCATTCGTATCACCCAGTCTCAGTCTTAACACCTATATCGAGATTTGAACGTGGCGCGAAACGTCTGACATTTTGACAACGAACGTTAGATGGCGCTGCTTGGAAATGAACTTTAAGTATAGGGTAAGTCAACATTTTTACGGTCTGCTGAATCCATACATTACAAGGTGAATTCTGGCACAAAATGCTTAATTTTTCTATAATATCCCCCATCGACTTGTGTCGCTGAGAAGAAACATTCCCCATTTTAAAGCTGCTAAGCAGTTTCCTTGCAATAATTTACTCATAGCTTTGTCGATTCATTTATTGATTTTTTCTACAACCATCTTTCGCGTTTTAATAGTTCTAACATATGCATGCAAGTTCTACTTGTAGAAAGAAGGGGTCTTAAATGATCGCAATAAAGATAACACTATCTTTAGTCTTAAATGATCGCAATAAAGATAACACTATCTTTAGTCGCATTCAATGTCACATATCAATTTGTTGAAATGGAAACACCGAGTGCTGTCAACAGTAAAACAGACAGTGCAGTGTCTACTATAGCGTTTTGTATTGTATTGTAAACACTTCTTCCATTCTGAAAAAATATTTTTATTTATTTAAAAGTAATTAGATTGTATTTTAGATAATTTTATACATGGGATTGATCTTTGATACCAACCGCACTATTCACATTCACGTTTTTCTAATTACACAAAGGCACAAACAATGAACAGATATTGATTAGTAAACAATGGCTAGGCAATAAAATAGAAATGCAATGTTTCTAGTTTGATAAATAATCTAATACCAAATGGAATCCTATGAAGAACTGCTAATTGAAGCAATAAACAATGATGATCTCAAATGTTCGCAGTATTGGCTTTCGAAAGGTAGTTTGTAACAATTTTGTGATTATTGTTTATTGTCGATTTTTAGGTGCTAATCCAAATAAAATAAGTTCCTCTGGTAGAACTCCTTTAGGTGTCGCAGCACAACATGGTAATTTTAACATTTTAAGATTATTAGCGGAAAACCAAAGAAGCGCCATAAAATACAAAAGTGATAATGATCCATGCAAGCAGCACAAGCCTTTAAAATTGGATTTCACACATAAAAATCAAAATAGAAATATTGGTTACTTTGTTGTGTGTAAAGATATTGATGAGGCAGAATTTGGAGATGGACCGACACCAGAAGGTATGGAAGCTTTGGAGTGGGATATGGAGGTGACCGACGACAATTTACTTAACGATAATCTCTGCTCTACACCACCAGAAGCCAGAATTTACAAATGGTACGCCGATGTCTTGAATCGCACTGCCATCGTGTTGGAATCTCCCGAAAATGATATTGCTAGGTTTGATAAGAACGGACTCAACGCTTTACATTACGCAGTCATAGGATGTCACTGTGATATTGTAGAATATTTATTAGATAATTTTAAAGAAATAAGCGTCAACCAAAGTGATGCGGATATGTTTAGCCCTTTACACATGGCCGCACTTAATGGAGACTCACGTATGGTTAAATTGTTGCTGGGAAAACGTGCAAACGTTCAATTCATGAATCGCCAGAAGCACACTCCTCTACATTTAGCTGCTCAAAAAGGATACGCCGATATTATAAACTTACTGATCGAACACGGTGCAAACGTAAATGCTCACGATTTACACGACTGCTCGCCATTATCGCTTGCAATTCTATCCTGTCACGAAGACGCAGCTGAGATCTTAATTCGAAAGGGAACTCGGCTGAACCACGAAGAGTTCTGCGGTATAACGGTGGTATATCGGGCAGTGTGGAATAATATGATTAACATTACAAGAGCGCTTTTGGAAGGCGGCGCTAAGATCATACAGTCTCAATATCTATTGCATACCGCAATTAGAAATAATAATTACGAAATGGTAAAAATTTTGCACAAGGGCGGCGCTATTCTTAATGTAAGAGATGAGCAGGGACATACACCGTTAATGATGGCGTGTGTCTACAACAATTTTCAAATTTCCAAGTATTTATTAAAAAATGGTGAGTGTATTGCAAAACTCGCCCAACTGTGGGTGTTATGGAAAAGACAAAACATAACCCCTTTATTGTGCTCTTGTGATTTGCACCCCCCACCACAATAGTTTTACAGTTCAAGAATGGATTGGCTGAAATTGTTTAAAAAAATCCGATACAAATGAATACCGAATGATCCTCGAGATCTTCACACATACCTACATCATTTTTACAATTCACCTTAAGGGGTTGATTCTGTCCCACCAGATCAGCATGGCTTGTAAAACGAACTTTTGAATCGGCATTGTTTCTTCTAAATATCTTAACAAATTTTAAAAAAACGACTGCGCATGCGCAAAACAAATTTTTTGATTCGGCTCTAGTTTTACTTTTATTTGAGGTGCCTACATACAAAAATTTATTTAAATAACTTAACAAATAAAAAAACCGACCGCGCATGCGCAAAACAATTTTTTTTATTCGGCTCTAGTTTTGCTTTTATTCGAAGTGCCTACATACAAAATTTCTTCTAAATATCTTAACACATTAAAAAAAACGACTGCGCATGCGCAAAACAAATTTTTTGGTTCGGCTCTAGTTTTCCTTTTATTCGAGGTGCCTACATACAAAATTTCATTTAGGTAAATATCGTAACAAATAAAAAAATTGTTATCGTGCACACGGACAGTCAGACGGATGGACGGGCGGACAGAGACAGCAATACAAAATTCTAAACGATCTCGAGGATCGTTAATAATCACAGTTGAAGAATTGAGTTCCCATTTCTCACAGCACCTCATTCAATTTTTGTTGTTGGTTCCTCAAAATTACCCGAAAAAATCACGCTCATAAAAATGGACCGAAATCAACCCCAGTAATGATGCCAATTTCATACCACACTACCTTCATTTTCGAAAATTCTCAAAACATTGACAATCCTTTCCGCTGCTCCGTTTCCGGGTATCACGAACTTTTAAATTAAGATGGACTGCTGGTCAAACAGTTGCATAGAGGTAGAAATGGCCCTAGCATGGGTGCGGCCATGATGTGCACGTTTTAGTTATTTTCTAGGGGAATTTTCCTAGTGCTCAAGTTTTGAGACTATTGCAGCCTTGGAAAATGACATGTGTCACAGTAATTTATTTAGAAAACGTGAAGTTAATGCTTGCTTATTAGTTGATTTGAATTTCGCGCTATGTGAGTGCACATCATGGCTGCCCCCATGTAGGTGTCATTTGTCAATTCAGCATTAGCAGTCGATCTTGTTTTATAATTTCGTGCTGGGTATTCACATTTAAAGTTGTGATTCCGCAAACAAGTGATCACAATTTGACTCGCAATTTGAGTGTGAGAGTAGCGCCAAAAATTCACGGCCTAACATACATCCAGAGATTGCATCCAGCCAAAACACGACATTTGGAGGCCAATTAGCCTTGGAAAAACAAAATATGTCAATTTATATTTTTTTAGAATTGTCACTCTGTCAGAAATCACAAAAATCGAGTAACAATAACAATAATAATGTTCATTGGTGATATATTGCTGTGTGCAATGGTAAGCGCCTAAGCGGGCTCTACACCACCCACAAAACACCTGTCCAACTAGCTGAAAACAAATCAAAATTGAAACTTAGAACTTGTATAACCTCTTCTCGTACACATCCGACATCTGCCATAAAAATTCTAATATTGACTTAAAATTTCCCAATTCGAGAGACTCTGTGGCTTCAATCAACTTCCGAAAATTCCAAAGAATTTATTACACAATTTTGATAAAATAAAAATAAATCTTGACATGAATAAAAAAAATCGGACATGAACACTATCTGGGTCGCACACTGGACTCAAATAAACACACAATTAATTGATTGACAATGACAAAAATCTCGACAAAATCTTATTCTAAAACAGTCAAAAAAATTAAACCAACATCCCTGCAAGAAAGAAAAGCTTATAAAGCTTGTTTGGAGATAATAACCCGTACGCAGGCGGTCGACGATTAAAATAATACCTTAAAATTATTTACACTTTTGTTTTTTTTTTAATAATCCAAATAATATGGTTGTGCAAGATTTGCGATATAAGGCGCACTTAACTCACACAAACGCTTTTGAACGGCTTCAGAACTTCACTTTGCTTTATTATAACACTGAATCAGATGACAAACAAAACCGGCTTGATGAATAAGGGAACACATTTTCGGGAGCTGTTCGAACGGTAGAAACATTTAATATGCACCTCGCTGTACTACACTACTTCCTTTTTCAACACAACGAAATTTTTTCCGTAATTGGATCATGCATTAAGCTTTTCATGCAACTTTGGTTAACTTGCTTCTGCACAGATTCATTATAAAAAAATGATGAATGTGTCTTCAACAAAACAAATAGGGCTGACTGCCCGTAATTTAGTGAAAACAGATGTACTTACACACTTTTTAACCGTTTCGAGACCTAACAGCAGCAGCCTCGATCTCCTCTCCAGTATTTAAGGAATCACCACTTCCACCATCAAATAAACTCCTTTAAAAATTTTGAAATAACTTGCTAATCAACGACGGAGCGCTAAACGTCGCCACCTCTACAAAACGCGCACCTTATCTCTTCATTATCACCACCAAAACACGTAATCATTAATTGATGTTATCTAAATTGAATAAATTAAAAAAATTATGCATTTACATTTCTAAAAGGCAAAACAACACTAACATACCAATTCAAATGAAAGTAACCAAATCTGCTTATTTCGTAAATAATCCTCCCATGTTGGATGTAGCCCTCCACTTAATTCAGCTCTTGTATAATCCTCCCATATTTACTTAACACACAGGATGTCCCGCCATTATTTTTGGTGTTTAGCCTGACATAATGTCTACATCACGTTGCGTTGCTTAACTGTATACATACCAGCAGACCTCGAAAACTTCGTACTGCCCTTGGGTTTTGTTTATATCTCGCATAATTCATTAACAGTTTACTTTCAGGTGCTCCAGTTAACACTAGAAACGAACTTACCGGTCTCACTGCCCTACACATTTGCGTCGATAGTATACGCGACCCGAGAACTTTCGAAGTATTTCTAGAGCTTCTACTTTCGTACGGTGCCGACATTAATGCGGGCAGCTTCATGGGAAACATCCTATTCCACGCAATTATGGCGGGGAATTTAAATGCGGCGTGCACGCTGATTAAATACGGTGCGGACGTAAACCTGCGAGAGGAGAGGGGTTTCGTCGATAATCTAACGCTCGCCAAAAACAATGACAACGCGGAGCTTGTCAAACTAATTATTTACGCCGGTTTCAACTTTAGTAATATGCTCTTCGATATGAAATGTTTAAAGACGAAGAGCGAAGATCCGTTGTACGATTTTATGGCCTGTGTAAGTGCTAAACCGTTACCTCTTAGAGATATGTGCAGAATACGGATAAGACAAATGTTGAGTGGAAATATTATTCAAAAAATCTATTTACTGCCGTTACCGACGGTCTTAAAAAAGTTTCTAGCTTTGGAGGAGTTGTAGTCATACAGGGAAATTTTCTGATAGTTTAAATAATTTGTAATTAAAACCATCGTGACACGGCCTGTTGATATTTGCACAAACATTTAAATCTTTTCTGAATTACATAATAGTTTGGAAATTTTAGAATTCAGCTCGTCATTATACGACAGGGCTATTATATGTGATCTTTATAGTTTCATTTTTATGTACTTATAAGTATACTAAGTAGTCATGCCTTAGTAGTTTAAAGAATTTATATTGTTTTTAATTGTATAAGTGTATTTATTTTTTTTAATAAACAAAATTTTAATGGAACACTTAATAAAATCTAGCTTAACTAAATGGGACAAAATCTCAGAAACAAAAACCGACAAAATCATAATAGAATAGAACAGTTCCAGTGTCGGATCGAAGGACAAGGGAAAGTGGCAAGTTTAAACAAAAAAAAAATGTGCCAAATTCTTGACAGAACAGCTTCCTAGCTCAAACCAAAAATCGCGCTTTTTGGCAAGTATGGGGAAAAAACGTTTCCCGCGAAAGTTTATTTTCCAATAAAGAATAAAAATATTCAATGAAAAGTATAGGTTGCTATTTGACAAAATTAATTTGCCCTATATTTGACCCTTAAGGGCAGTTATGTGAAAATATGCATATCATTATTCAATGGGCCCCTCCATATGAAGAATGTTTATATAAATTATTTTTTTATATCCCCACTAGTTTCCGCAATAATCGAATGTCGCAAGATAAATGGGAAATCCTGCATATTAATTAACATTGAATGAAATATAAGATTACGGAATTGGTTATCGCAGCTTAAAGGAAGAAATTAGCGCTACGCCCTCCCACTATTCGTCTTGCTTATGCAGTTAAAACCCAATAAATCATCCCCTGTAACTGATATCTGTTCTAGGCAAAATGCTTGCTTCAAAACTATCGTATATAACCGTTACCACCCTCAATTTAAGTGAACATACAGACTATTTTTTTAAAGATGCTTAAATAATTTTATTTATTTATTTATTTATTTAACCAGAAACCATACAGATATATAAGTGAACTAAAACGTTGACATCTGATGTAATGAAAAATGTCCAAAAAATAGTGTTCGCAATAGCCACCTAGCTCAAGCTAAATTAAAACTTAAAATGTGCACCTTTGAACGAATGAATTAATTTTAATTATGTTACACGTTCAGCACCTAGTGGACATAATCCGAAGATGTTTGAAGGCGCTTTGAAAATGAGTCATATACTTGCCTGTAATCTTATTTATCAATTAGCCACTTTTGACTATAGTTTAATAAAAAGTTTCCTGAAAAGCTGTCAGCGAGTGATTTTGTGTTTTTGATAAGGGCACTTGAATAACGCAAACCTTTTACCATCAGATTACTTGGATTTTAGGGAAAAACACATAAGATTTTCCATGTGTTTCGAAATAAATTTTTGTTATTGTCAATTAATTTTGTTTATACGAACCCTCTGTGCGACCCAGATAATTCTTGTCAGATTTTTCTCATTTGTGCTCAAGATTTATTTCAGATAATCAAGTTGTGTAATAGTCTTAGGAATTTTCGTTGATCAAGGCCATCGAGTCTCTATTAGGATTTTTCTTTACCTATATAGCAGATGCCGAAATGTGTACCAGGAGAGATTATAAAATTCTAAGTTTCAATTTTAATTGGATTTTAACTAGCTGAACAGGTGCTTTGTGGGTAGCGTAGTGACCCCATAGGCCATACCATTGTACACAGCAATATGTTACATTTTTACTTGGCTTTATAGTCGTATAAGTTAGCTGTTACAGCTCCACACTCAGTCTAAAAGGTGGGTTCATAGCTCGCCGTTAATCTATTGCGGCAATCCGTCAAATGGATAGTACGTTTTGTTAAGATTCATAGCAATCCGTCCATATCTTACGTTTACAAGGTATAACCATAACCTAAATTTTAGTTTGTACTGTACCCACCTGTGACCTTCAGTACGTAGAAATGTATGTAAGTGAATGCTATGTGATTATCACCGTGAAGAACATAATAGGCGAACACTGTTAATGTACCAAACATAACCCCACTTTTGTTAAAAATTAACCAAAGAAAACGTAAATGTAAACGGTTAACTTACGATTTAAAAATTTACTGTCTTCTGATAGGCTAAAGGACACACGGATACCTATGAACGGAGAGCTATGAACCCACCCTTAGTAGGTAGATAGGTACTTCTATTGGAGAAAAACACAGAAGATTAAAACAACTTCTTTATTATAATACTGAGATTAAAAATTTTACTTGTATTTACACTTTAAAAGCCTGTAAGTTCCATTTTCATCGAAATAAAATTAAAGCATTTATAAATTGTCTACAAAGCCATTTTGGCACAAAACAAACTTAGAACAATAAAACAATAATAATTTAAAATAAATATTTTGGATAATCTTATTACTTTCATATTAACAAAGCAAGCTTCTTATTACAAGTTAAAAAATACCCAGTCAGTTGTATCGACAGATAAATCACCATTGATGAGGGAATGATTTGGAAGATGAATTTTCGCATTTGGTTGAACTTGATGATTGCATTTTAGATTCGAATCAAATAATTAGAAAAACCACCATCAGCTGGGTGGTATGCTCGTAGCTAATTGACCGTTAGCCACCCTCGGTTTTGGTGCAAACCACGACATTCTCCACTCCAATGTCTCATGTAATAACTTCTCCTCTTCGGGGGAGAACTTAAGCAGAGTCGAAACCGCTCGAATTAAGTGCTGCGCTTCGTACTCTCGACTAGTTAAAAATTTTATTAATACATGCTTCAAGTATTTAAAGTTTATGTCATCGTCGTCTTTGCGTATGCTATGCTGTTTGGTTGAAGTATGACTAGGCATTAACACAGCGGCGGAGTTATTCTCTTGAATGTCGGTATGATAATTTGTACTACCGGGCGTTCTTAGTTCTTGTTGCAAAGTTTTCTTTATGTCAGCCAAACGAAGTTGCAACGTCTTTATCGTCTGAAACAAACAAATGAAGACCATCAAATAGCATTATTGTTGGTTATAACCTTGTTTTTCTCTGTAACTTGCTCCTCTAAACGAATAATGGTATTCTTCAAATCTTGTTCCACAGATTTAGCCTCTTTATCTTTAAATATCTTCATCTCACCTTCTAACGCACTTATCTTATTTACTAACTCAGTCATTTCGGTATCTTGACGCCGACATTCCTGTTTGGCAATTTCCATTTGTTGAGATATTTCCGCATTCCTTAACAGCGCAGCATTTTTCTCCGATGTAACTCTGTCGATACCAAGATTACACGCAAATTTAAGCAATTACAAAACAAACAAACCTCGAAAGAGTCTTTTGTACATTTAAACACGTTGATTTCTCTTCACCTAACTCCTTTTCTAGTTTTGCAACCAGTTGTCTGAGGGACGTATTCGCTTGATGTTCCGAATCTACCGATAGCCTTAATTTACTACACTCGTCCTCAGACTTGTCCAATTGACTTTCAGTATTCTCCAAGTTTTTTCGAACCGCTTTCATTTCCGTACCCGTGTCGTGCTAAAACGAAATTATTTGAGTTAGTAACAGAATATATTTTGTATTAGCGAGGAACAAATATGATAATTTGCCATAAGAGTTATCAGCAGGATTGTTGTTGGTACGGAATACACTGAACACTACAAAAAATAACGTCAGAGCATAGCATTTAACAAAAGGGTATCGTGGAGCAGCACACCAAAGATATACCTACAGGGCGGAAATGTTGTATGGAACACTAAATACATAATATATTCGTAACATTTTTTAGAAGAAGCTTTTTATGTTATCCAAAATTTATTATAAAAACCAGTGTACGTACTTTAAATTTGTAGTCAGTGGCGTACCTTGTAACAGCCACTAGGGTTATCTGTGACTGTATTCACTAAATTCGATCCTAATTAAAAAGTTGCAAACAGGAAAGAAAATTTCCTGGTCAGTACGAACGATAACCCCCCAATTGTTCGCTATTTTCAAAATTTTACCCGGAGTCTACAATTTTAAAAAGAGATTATAAAACAGTAGTCCTTTCGTCACCTCCGATATATTTGTATAATTGTTGCAAATTTAACTTGTTGTTTAGTTGAGTGTTTGCGAGGTATTTTTGAGGTCCCCAGTCGTGAAATAATAAACTAAATGTTTGACAGTGTGTCACAAACTCTCGCAATTTAAACGAAAATGGCCCATACGCAACATCGACCGATATCGGTATCAGTAAAAAAAATGCGACATCGGTAAATCCCTACAATTTACTAAAGTAAATATTTCTAATATTTTACCAAATGGCATCAATTTGAAGTATCGCAAATATTGCATGATTATGTATGCACTTTGAATGTTTATTTCATTGCTAGAAAGTAGGCTGAATCTGAGCCAATTCAAAGTAGCTCGCTACCTGTTAGTGACCTTACATCATAGGTCAAGGTGAAGGTTACGTGGCGGTGACCTTGGTCAAAGTACAGCACAAAGGGCAAGGCGTTATCGATCAAATGACATGTTCAAGGTCAATGACCCCATTTTTGTGCTGCCAAATTACATTTTTAAGGTTAATCATCCTATTTTTGGGGTGTCAAATTCATTTCCAAGGTCAATGCGCCCATTTGGGTTGTCAAATTACATGTTCAAGGTCATACAAAGTCAATGGCAACTTATTTGGTGGGGCAAATTAGATTTCCAAAGTGAACTACCGTATTAGTGGTGTCAAATTACAATTCAATTTTACAGTGTTCCAGACAAAATTTCCACCCTGCATATTTTAATTTAAAAAAGAACTCTTAGTTCAGGTGCACAAAAAGTGAATCACTTGTCAATGAAAATTTCATGAAAAAATTCTAGAGCAGTTCTTAAATATTCTGGATCTTTTTCTTCTTATGAAGCTTTTAGGTAATAGTTGGTACATAACCTTCAATACCTTGACTTAACCCTAGGAGTAAACAATAAAAAGAGAGAACCTTGCATTAAAAGAGCACGAGACGGAAATGGATAAAAAGGAAATTATGAGTGGGGGGAAATGCGACATCATTCGCAGTGGCGTAATAAAACAAAACTGACATACTGACATATCTTTTGTTTTATGATAAGTCAAGTCGGCATAACTGACCAGCGCAAAAGAAGTAATATGATGGCGTGCTATGCTATTTCCCACCACCGTTATCTTCTCTCCTATTTTTTACTTGTAGATTTAACCGGAGAGGAACCCGACAGAGATTGTAAGGAAAAATCGTGCAAAGAAATCATAGTAAAGGAAGGTATAACGAAACACAATTATAAGAAATAAATGAACAAAACGTTTATTAATTAACAATAATCATAAAAAAGATTAAAACTTACAGATATATCAAATAGAGACTATAAAATTATAACTTACAAGAAGTAGGAATGTAATTAACAAAAGTTTAAATTAATGCGTATTTAAAAATAAAAATAACTGGCTACAGGAACTGCTTGGAAAAGTGTTGTAAGCAACTTCGAAATCACAATCAATCCAATTTAACTCACGATTTTCTCTCTTAAAAACGCGATTTCTTCTTCTGATTCTGCACGTAAACTCTTCAACTCCTTGGACATTTCCTCGATTTCCGAAGTGAGTCGTCTAATCTTTGCCTCTTTATTATTGATTTCTAGACGATTGCATTCTAATTCGCACTCCATCTGCTTAACCTTTTCAGAAAAAACGGCTTTCTCCTGCACCGCTCTTCTTCGTTCCGCCCCTTCCTCCGCCGCCTGCCGACTCAATCTACCAACCTACACGTCACCGATCAAAAACAGCACCATGTCAAAAATGAAGAATTTTACCTGAGTCTCTAGGGAGGCGATTTTATCGCTCCACGACGTTTTAATATCGGCCAAATGCAAGTGGGCCTCCTCGAGCCGTTGCTCGAGCAGCTTCAATTCGCCATTCTCTTGACTATTGTCATCGGATGAATTTTTCTGCCTTAGTACCGTAACTAAATCCGTCAGGTGACGTCTCTCCTCTTCGCTTTTCGCAAGTTCAGACGCTAAAGCGGCCATGTCTCTCGCGCTGGAATGCCTGAAGCTTTCGAGGTCGTCCTAAAAAAATGAATCCGGTTGATTAAAACTGATCGGTGTGAAATAAACTAATCAGTTAAGAGCCTTAATTTTTAAATGCCTTAAAAGTATCGGTTAGTAAAATATTCCACGCAGACCAAACTTAAGACTCTTAACGTTACAAGCCAAAGCACATACCTGTGTCGCATCGCTTGAAGCTCACAAACATAAGTGCAACTGTAACACGTATCTCAATACTCAGCGTGATCCATCCCAAAGTAACACAATCAAATTTTACGCAGCTAATTAACTAAAATAAACGAAAGGTTGGGTGAGAAAGGGGGTCACAGTGAGTGACTAACCCCAGAACAAGCGATAAAACAAAAAATTGGCTATAATTCGAATAGTAGGTACAGTCAAAATGCTAAATGGTTACAAAAGGTCCGGTAGAAGATTTCATTTTTCCGACTTGTTTAAATGGTGAAGAGGGTCGGGAGGTGGTCAACAAAAATGTCTGACTGGTTTTTTTAAATTAACTCACCAACGGCAATGCTTAGGGAACTTTATGTTTCATTCAAAATTGTAGAGGGTAAAAGTACCTTTCATTTGATATTTTATTTGGTCCTCTGGCATCTATAGTTCAGGAGATCAATTTAAAGTGTGATAGTTTCATTTGAATTTGTATTTCAGGAGATCAATTTAAAGTGTGATAGTTTCATTTGAATTTGTATTTCAGTATTTGTTTTTCCATTTAGAAATTTGTGTAGATGCGTAATTTTCGTTTTAATCTTATCGCTTTTGTAAATTCTTTAATTTAGATAAAAGGTAATTCTGGGCGAGGCCCTTCTTTAAATAATTCCCTGGCGCTGTTGAAACAGGATAAGCTGAACCGGTGTTTTGTGGATGCCGTAGAGTCTGTTTGGCATTGCACATAGTGTTATTATTTGGGACCCAACGTGGGGCACATAGCAGTATATTTATAAGATTTTGTTGTACCTTCAATTTTAAAAAGATCCGCGGATCAGTGGAAAAATTACCCATTCTGTCTGCCCTTTACCTCTACCTATCCTCGTACCTATCTATCCCTTCAACCCCATAAAATAAAATGATTAACGGAGACAGGTGAGTGATATTTTCTTAATTAGTTTATATAGGCATTACAAACCAGATACAATTTTCGTTGACAAAACGTATGATACCAGGCTTCCTCTGGAACCGAATAATTCATGATGTTTCTTATTTTCTCCAAGATTTTTGCATTCGTCACATTTGCAACCCCTTCCAAAATTGTCTTCCTTACCAACGTAAAAATGGTGTTATTTTCAAAAATTGATAAAAACCAGAAACTGTAAATTGACGTATCTCCTAAACTACTGATGCTAGAAGATCAAATAAAATATCAATGTATATTAAACATGATTTTACCAGAGATTTTACCTAGTATTGTCGTTGGTGAGTTATTTAAAAAACCCTAAAAAAGTCAAGACATCTTTGTTGATTTTTGACAGACGTCAGTCGCATTGCCAAACTTGGTTTTTTCTCTTAACCATTTAAGCAAGTTAGAATTGAGAGGACGAACATTAGATTATATAAACAAATCCGCAGTGTATGTTGTTTTTACACCATTGCAAACAGCGCACTCTACAATATGATTTATTTTTTACTTGATTTTTTATTTTGATTCTTTTGGTCATACTGCTAAGACATAAGACATCCAATAGGAGTTTACAAGTTGCCTTCGCATAACATAATCCAGTAAATAAACTACTACCTACAATGCAAAATATTGTGTTTAATAAGAAGCACTACAAAAAGCATATAGGTAAGTGAAAACACGAGAAGATAAGAGAAAGTGAAACAAAATAGAAAAAAAGCAAAAGCAACCCCTAGATTGCTCTAGATGGCGCATACTTTGTTACACAATTTAAATCCCAAAAAGTTTGTTTGAAAGTTTATATAATGTACAAGATGTAAGTGCTATGCTCGGTGCTATGTATGTATGGAAACTGGAATAGATCAAGTAACTTTAGCTTGCTAATAATATTTGATCGCACAACCTAGAAGTGTAACATAGATTATCATATGTGCATTTTAAACACCCTAAGCCTAATTTAGTAGTTCTTTACTGTTTTGCACTTTATTCGTTATTATTATTTTGCAAAAGTACATGCTGGTGACATCACAAAAATAGTGATTTAACATGTTGTAGCGAACTTTCTAGAATAGGTAACAAGGAATGAAAGCAGATGTGACGCATTGTTTCCATGAAATATGATATGCTGATTCGGGACTTCTCTGGAAGCTTGTTTGTTATACAGGGTCATTCTTGACGAGCGTCAGTTAGAAAGATATGGAAAACCTTTGAAAATGGAACTAAACTGATAAGTCCTTTAAGGGTTCTGGCACATGATGAATTGAACTAAAATATTTTCAAGATGGCACCACTTCCGGAAATACCGGAAGTAGCCATCAACTTTGTTATTTTAAATAGGGACCCCCCATTTTTTTCTACATTTTCGGATTCTACGTCGAATTTGGAGTACAACGATACCCCATAGTTGACCCGTTGCTCCAAGGGCTTCGTCGATATTCCAGTTTTTATGCCAAAAATTGTATTTTCAGGGGTAATTTTAAAAATGTATTATTCGAAAACGGTGAGAGATATTGCAACACAGTTTTCAGTGATTTCTTAAAGAAAGATCGAATTTTCTTATGGTATGCGTAACAGTCTAAAAAAGTGAGACTACGTCACTTTTTTAAAGCTCTCAACTTTTAAATTTTTAAATTTCGGTAACTCCATTTTTTCAAATGGCACCCCGCATTTTGTTCTTCACCGTTGTTTTCCTTTTTCCCAGACCTTTAATTTGATACAAAATGTCAAAAGCTGCTTCAAACGGTTTCCGAGATATTCCATGTTTTTGTTACTTCTTGTGGCAAATTGATAAAAAAATTAAGTCGCTTGATGTTATTCTTTTGTTTTTATTATGATAATGTTTAAACGTCAAATTTTCGCTGCTTGAATTTATACTTCTCGTCAATAATGGCTCGTTTGGGTTACTCTAATGAAGATTTTTTGAATTTCATATTAATACACGGTGAATATAATCGAATAGCGGCCAGGACTTTTTCCGTCTTTTTTCCGAAAGATACCCTGACAGGGTGCCCGAAGTTGATTACCTCTCGAAGACGCGCGCGCGCGCCTTGCAAAAGGTCGTTAATTTCGCCCCTAGGCCAAAAAACAAAATTCCGCCACGCAGGAGTTGTGCGCGTTTACAACCTCTTTCCGACGACACCAATTTGAAAAGAATCGGACCGAAACTGTAGTAGAAGATAGGAAAAAACTGAAAAACCTTCACGTTAGTATACTACGCTCGAGGATGACGCCCAGATGTCGCCAACCCCACATCATGTAGCCCTGTCCCCAAGGTTTACAAATTACACGGCCTTGTAGATACACGTACACCCGTTGCCTTTCTACAAGAGTTCTTCTACGCGCCCACATTTGCTGCTAGCCAACCGACCAGCCGGCCAGCCAGCCAGCCAAAGTGAGATTAAAAGCTACTTTTTACAAATAAATTTGCAAAAATGCGCTAAAAAGTGACGTAGTCTCACTTTTTTAGACTGTTACGCATACCATAAGAAAATTCGATCTTTCTTTAAGAAATCACTGAAAACTGTGTTGCAATATCTCTCACCGTTTTCGAATAATAAATTTTTAAAATTACCCCTGCAACTTCAATTTTTGACATAAAAACTTGAATATCGGCGAAGCCCTTGGAGCAAAGGGTCAACTATGGGGTATCGTTGTACTCCAAATTCGACGTAGAATCCGAAAATGTAGAAAAAATAAGGAGTCCCTATTTAAAATAACAAAGTTGATGGCTGTGGCGCCATCTTGAAAATATTTTAGTTCAATTCATCATGTGCCATAACCCTTAAAGAACTTATCAGTTTATCTTCATTTTCAAAGGTTTTCCATATCTTTCTAACTGACGCTCGTCAAGAATGACCCTGCATAAGCAAATTGAATTGTGTTTAATCTTAGTCTTAATATCGATGCCAAAGTGACAAATAGTGAAATCCGCGCCGTGGTTATACAGGGTCACTATTAAATCAGCACTAATGAAGATGATCAAATCAAAATACTGATACAGGTACCCACCTTTAACTTCCCAGAAAATTTCTATTAATCTTCTCACCGTTTGGATGCATATGCACAACTTGCAGCTGATACTGTTAAAAAAACCGAATGAAAGCGACGAGAAATAAAGTTTTAAAAACTGTAAACCTTCCCTATAAATGTTTTTACTAGTTATGTTTAGGTCTACAAAATTAAGATCAGAAGAACATTAAACCTCATAAGATTGCTATTGTTAAAAATATTTGTAAGGAAGGTTTTGGATTTTTAAAACTTTATTTCTTTGTTACAATGAGCCATTAAAAAGACGTTGACAGAAACAATTGATCCAGTTAGACCAAAAATTTAACAATAGTCAAGGGCTTGCAAATGCGTTATTTATTTATTTATTTATTGTCCCTCTTGTTCTAGGCCCTCAACATGTACTCTGTATAATTCAAAGTATTTTTAAAACCAGAACCCATTCTTGACAAATCTTTCCTTAGAGTGCTCCGTGCAATCGTTGACTTACCCTGTACAAATTTGCATAAGTTATCTCATTCCAAATATCTACTCAAAACTGGTGTGCAACAGGGGCCAATAGCAGGGCCGCTTATATTATTACTCCAAAAACTTTGGAGCGTACCTGCATTATCTGAAAGAATGATTAATTATGTGAAAATGTCCCCAAAATGTTTTAAAAATCAATAGTCAAGTCTCCATACATAATAGCACAGGCCTTAGTACTTATCATCCCAAGCACAACCATCAACCACTTTGATAGATTGCTAATTAGTAATTAATTCCATTTTTAGTATTGTTTACTTCAATTTGTTTGGTATAATTTCAGTTTATGCAAACAATAGACGACATCATTAACACTAATGAGAAAATTAATTGGTGTAATTACCTGTACATCGGTTAAACACTCTTCTTGTTTACGCAAACGTGTCACTTCGGCTCGCATCTTTTCCAATTGCTGCGTGGTATCTTTAAGCAAGCTACTTTTTTCGGCAAGCTCCTTTTCCCTCAACAGTACTAGGTGTTTAATTTTGGAAATTTCCTGAGTCTGAAAATTTTCAATTTGCTCTTTATCCTCCCTATGCTCGACAAGTCTCTTTTGCATTTCTTCCGATGATTTTAAAACGCTTCTCAACGAATTTATCTGCTTAAAGGCGTCTTCTTGGTCTTTCTCCAGCTTTTGTATTTTTTTATCCTTTTCGTACAGAACGCCCTGCCATTCTTTGGTTTTCTCCTCGAGCTTGATGGCATATTCCGTTTCCAGTTTGTTAAAGCGCTTCTTGTAGTCCTCGTCAATTTTGGTGCCATCCGCAGTTTCGTCACGGTTACCTTCCGAGGACACTAAAGAGTTTATGCTAGAAGTCGAGCCTTGCTGAGACCTGCCTCGCAGTGATTCGATACGTTGAGCGGTGGATGTTATTTTGGCAGTCAATTTAGAAATGTCACTGCCAGTTTCCTCACGTATTTTATTTTTTAAAGAAGCGAACATGTTAGCAGCTGTAGCAACTGACTTAACTCAATTAAGGTTACAGGAATTGTTAATACTGATTCATTATTTCACGGTTTTGTGTTACGTTTACCAAAATCACTTTTGGTTTATACAATTTTGGTTATTTAAAATCATTATGTTTGGTAACAGCATTTAGAAAATATCTTTAAAAACACAAAAAAACATTTAAACGTCAACTGCTTGTGAGTTGTACTTTGAGTTTGTACACACGATGACGTTTTGATCGTTTAGTGCCAACTGCCAACGTAAAGTTACTAAAGCCCCCAAATTAGCAAGCACAGAAAATACGAGGGAGGATTAAAAGGTTCTGCAAAAACTTATTTATGTAACGAAAGCATAAGTAGATTTTTTTATAGCTCAAGGAATATAAAGGGGCATGTGAACATTCTAATATATTGTGCTGGAAGAATAATTTTCCTCAGTGTACTTCAAAGAATGTGGTAATCAGAATCAGAAGCCTTTATATTGTTTATTATAAGTATTTATTTATGTATTACCAGGAAGTTTATTATCAGTATGTTGTTGCTCTGTATGCTTCTATTTAATTATGCCTTGAAGGAAGTAAAACAAGAAATAAAATTCATACGTTTTTCTCAAGTAAGTTTACCTACTTTACACTCGCGCCTCTTCATCTACAAAAAAAGCCTTACTTTCTTTACCAAGGGCGTGGACGGGCGCCATTGAGACCGACGCCCAGATATATAATGTGTACTAGCAGAAGTGCATTCAATTTTATAATATTTAATTAATAATGCTTGAAAGAATATTTTTAACAAACCCATAAATGTACGTTCCAATTACCTACCTCTACCTAGTACCTAGCTACATAGATAGGTATTAATAATAACAATTGCAATAGTTACAAACTTCGAGTGTCAATATTTTAGAATGTTTTAGAAATCCGAATAGAAATCAATGCGTCACAAAAAAATCGTCATCGGCGATCAGAAACAATAGTGCAGATGTGGTGCATTCTTTCCGTGAAATATATGACGTGTTTGTTCGAGAACATTCTAGAATATTCGGGAGCATTGGGAAGTGTTCGAGAAAGACGGGCGTTTTCTATATAAACAAAATCGAATTGTGCTAGTTCCAATATAGACGCGCTCGTGATATTAATATGTTATAAATTTATTGTTAGTTATTAATTCTAAATTAATAATCACATGGAGGTAATTAAACTTACGCTACAAGCCTACAACATTGATCTGGCAAAAAATAACAGTTCAGTGGCAAATTCTTGTATTGCACGGATGCCAACGAAGAGCTAAATCGAATAGTCGGTACAGATACCTATACGCTCAACTGCGAAAATATTGATGCCTTTGACAATTTGATAGAGACAGACCCGATAGCGATTTGCGTAAATTAAATCGATTCGTTACTCATGTCTGAACTGTTATTTGTACAGGGTGCTTCATATGAAAGTGCTCAGTCTGCAGAAAATGCGAAAACGTAATAAGGCTAAAGACATGAATTTTTCAGCACGCTTTATATGTACTTTATATTTTAATAGTAAGTAAGATTTAGGCCTTATTTGCGTAACTTCTGAAAATAATGAGCTTGTATATCTTTGCGTATTAAAAAAGGAAGTTTATCTAGTGAAGATAAGAGATTAGAAGACGTTTACGTCGCAGTGATATTTCAATTGAATTACGATGCTCTCAAAGGAGTCAAAGATCTCCAGGTTATTTAGAAGATTAGGTACCGTCGATTATTACTGTGTGGCGTGTGAAAAATTAAGTACTAGAGAATACTATATGTTGTATCGTCGCCTAGTTATCGTGTTTATGATAATGTAATAATTACAAAGTATTGCCAATTGTGAAATATTTAATAAAATGTTCAAGTTATAATACGGTGTAAGGAGGGAAACGATTGCCAAACAACCCAAACATGAGGCGTAGTGAGTACGAGCACTTTATTGTTCTCTAGTCTCTAAATCCCAGAATCTCTAAATAGCGACTCTAATGAAAATTATAATTATAAATTAAATTTTTTTGATTTTTTTTTATAAAAAAGTGTATTGCTTTCAAATATGCTCAGTTCCAAAGAAGGGACAATGATTTTGAATTCTGAAATATAGTGTTCAGGAAAAAACACCCTGTATATTGAATAGTGAATATTCTTTATTTGTTAACTCTAAATAGTTTTTTTTATCAAGAATTTATCTGAAATGTTTATAAAAATATATAAACCCCGGAAATACTATCCGAATAAATCAGGAAAAAATACTTCTATCCTCCCCACCGATCCCACCCCCCTGGTATTTCCATTCCCATTTTTACTGTAGTGGTTTTTTTATTTATGGGTTATTCACAGTTATTCATTGTTTTACAATGGCTTTATGTTAATGAGGGAAAAGGGATTTCCCAAATGTTCCACAATAATTATTAATGATGACATTTAATAAACCGCCCACAATTTCTTGTGCATTCATATAAAAAAATGGAAAAAGGACGGTAAGTTTTGGTCAAACATAACCTAAACTTAAAAACAAAAACTTTTTAGCTTCTCTTTGTTGGTGCTTGAGCCTGGAGAAATTTATTTCGAAGATTTTAGCGCCTGCCTTATTCCCTCCGATACTACCACCAGTAATTATGAATTGAAAAAACAGCAGGGAAGGTTACGGATGTGCTCGAAATCCCTAGTATTCGAACCGCACGACTTAAACAAACCGCTCATAAAAATACCGCTGAAGGAGTGCACCATACTGGAGCAGTTTAAAGGCAAAGCGAAGTTTTTGAATAAAAGCAAAAATGTTTTAAGCGTCAGCACTAAACTGTACATTGAAATGTTTGAGGGCAACATTATTGAACCGTATAAGTTTTGCGGCTTTTCGAGGTTCCTATTTTTGTTAAACTATGCGAATATCATGGATTGTTTGCCGAGAATTACACAGCTCCAACGAGCAAGTACTTTACCTGCTGGGGAACAAGCTGACATGGTTAAGTGTGCACATTGCCAGTCTCGTTGTAATGAGAGAAACTTTGTAGATTGCCACGATTGTGCATTCTAGACAGGCACGAGTTCGTTTCGACCCTCTCTGGTTAGATTTATATGAAAAGGTTGTAATGGAGACGCAAGCAGATAAGGTGACTCCTTTAGTATTAAATCCTGGGCGTATTTTATTATCTTCGGCAAGATTATTCTTCCAGCCCTACAATAATATTGAAACAGTAAGGAGCACTTGTCATGTGTAACGTAAGCATCATGTTTTTTTTGCAGTATCCGGTATTAAAGATTAATCTTAGCAGTATTAGACAAATAATTAAACGACGATTCTTATTAAGGCATATAGTGAGTAGCTAAACTGCCAATTAGGTCATTCACAGTCTTGGCACCTTTTAGGGTTTAGAAATTTATTCAAGTGAAAACAATACAATTCCGTACATTTATTTTGCATTCCGATCACCGGCCGACCGGGATAAATTGTATGACAATTTATTACAGCAGTCTGATTTGAAATTATCTAAAATTGAGCAAGATGTAATGACATTGCAGTGGCAAAATGGATATGTGTCCAATTATGATTATTTGCTCTATATTAATAGGTAGGTAAAATGCTTTGGATGCTCAAGTTTTCCTGTGCTTGTCCTTGTGTACCTCTTTCCTGCTCATATAAGGATTTTATTTTATTTATTTATTTACTTACGACTATACAACCTTTTTTTGGTTAATATGTTGCCTTTTGTTCCAGAATAATTTGATATTTATTAACATTTTATTTTTTTGTTTTTTGTTAAAATATTTTTTTTTTCGTTATTTTATTTTACGCGTTAAAAAATGTAATGGTATGACATTAAAAACTAACAACAAAAAACAACAATTTTTGGCGAAATTATGAAAATTACAATCAAGGTATGTATCTATTAAATTTTTGAATGCGGTCACAATTTCAGTTCACGGTCAATGCGGCAACGGTACATCTTCCCACATGTTACATGTCACTTGACACAAAAAGAACATATATCTAAACAAAATTGAAACATTCAGAATAGAATCCAGTTTTGGACATGGTATTTTTCTTAGCATATATGCTTTAATATTAATAATGAATTTAACTTATTTGAAATACAGGGTGACCACAAATGAAATGCTATAGAGACATCTCTTAAATTGATGCTCTGGTAAAGTTGGGATACCTTCATGTCTAAAGATTATCAAATGCCAAATCTGATCAATATTTGAATTTTTCCGCTCTCGCACATGCGCAGTCGTAGGGTTGTGTGTTATAAATCGCAAATTAAAATACAGAACTGATGTACATACACTAAATTTGAGAAACAAAGGTTTGCTTACACCTCCCTTGATGTATATACAATGATACCATGTCGAGGTTATTGCAGTAACAATCTTCTTCCCAATGTTATTTTACAATTTAATTTGAGGTTTATTTTTGCTAGAAATATTATTTTTAATTTTTTTATTTTCTGTTAATGAACGGTATCACATGGGTTAGATGAAAGAGCAGAAATGGTGTGTTTAATTCCATTACTGAATATCGCCCTTTGCACATATTTTTATGTAATTAACCTAGGTACTTATTAAAGACATTTATTATTATTATTATTAATATTATTAAAAATCGGAACAAAAATCTACGCAAAGCCGCTGATGCGACTGTGCTCTAAGATATAGAAAAAAATGCAAATTTTGGACCTTTGCAGACGTACCAACCAAATTTTAGATTTTTGGTTTATTTAGGAAAATTTCTCTTCGTAATCGACCTGGTATATTTGGCGTTTATCTTGCATTTTTGGAACTATTTATATTGATCACGGTTTACCTGTATGGTTTGTTGCCTACTTGCATATTTTTAGCGCAGTTTCCAACTCATGTTGGAAGGCGCTATTATGGTAACTTTCTTCGTCCGTCTGAGGCCTTAACTATTCCTACAGTTTTCAAGATATTTGGTTCGTTCTTGTTGCATTCGGTAGCTTATAGCTCTGGTACCACAAACCCTTGACAATTAATATGCACATGCGCAATGTCAGTTTGTTTATTTATAGATGTTTGTACGCATGCATTGTCAACATTCTTATTTAAGGAGATATTTTTTGAAATTTTAAACCAAAGATTCTTCTAGCTAAGGCAAACATATCGCATATTATACACATTAGGTGTGCGTAGGTGTGCGCATGCGCAGAGCTAAGTTCTTTATTTATTTATAAGATTATTTATGCCATACCTTATTTTCCTTGTGGCAGTCGCATCAATCTATGTCAAACCGCCGCTTAAAATCCGTACATACATGCCGACGGACGGACGGTGTAGGCATATAATAAACCACACAAGATAACCAGAAAATATGGACAAATATTTGACATAGGAAGAATGTTTGGAAGATCTTCATGTAATATTAATAGCCCAAACCATGGTAGGGACTAAAAAGAAGTAATTTGAAATCGTGATAAAAGTGTTCTAAAAATAAATGAAGTCTGATGTCAATAGGTACTGCGGCTCGTGGTGTAACAGCTCTATAGAATCTACAGCATTTTCTGCGGTGTGATCCCCTATGGATGGTAATTACCAAGTCTATTGTTGCAGAAATTAAATTATTATTATTAAGTGAAAGCGATCCCACCGCCCACAAATCATTTATAGTGCAGGTTCGGTCATCCTGACAAATGCACCACGCCATGGAAGTAATGAGTTGTTTGATATCAAATGTTGTTTATGTTTAACGTTATCACAGTAATTGCCAAGTGTGTAATATGAGCCTGCAAATTCATGTGATCCTTTCGGCAATTGAAGAAGCATTTTTAATCTCCCTCTAATCAATTTTACTTAATGAAGTTATTTATTATATAGAGTTGAAAGGTTTTTCTTAATGAGATAATGCAAGAGACATGTAACGAGTAGTTACAAATTCAGGACAGAAATGCCGGACGTACTGTTAAATTTTGACCTTCCTGTAAACAATTTTTGCCGAGAACTTCTTAAATGACAATTTCTTCCTTGCATTTACAGTCACTAAAAAACTTTGATCATGCGCATGGCGAATTCTTATAACACATAAATTCTCTTACAAAATATAAAACCACCGTGAGGGAATTTATAGGGTGTTCGCGGCTTGACGCAAACGCCCCAACGGTTCTTGACGCGAATTGTCCCGCGGCTTAATCTGAAGTCTTCACAAATTATAAATCCACCCCGCGTAAAGTGACAAGTGGTTAACTTAAACTTTTCTAACCGCTCGACACGAACGCTATCGTGACTTAACGCGCATTGCCTCACGGCTCTTACCAACAACCTAATTCCCACTGTTTTTGTCTTTTAATTGACATTCACTCTGAAACGTACAATATTCTCCACCAATCAAACTCATTTTTTAAAGCCAATGAGATCCCTTGACAGGCATAAATCGGCCCCGTGTGGAGTAGCAGAGGGTTTTTTAACATGTAAACTACCGGGGCAATTGCCCCAGTAGTGCGCTCATTTACCCATGTAGTTTTTAATTTTTTTAATGCAGAGTTGGGCATGTATATGTAGCGCAATACTTTTCTCTGTAGTAGTAGGTATTCAGTATTTAATCAGAAATCAACCGCGTTTAGCCTAAAATAACAAATAGGTACCCAGGTACCTATGTAGTCATTGACGACAATAACAACTTTAAAAACCGCAGTGTTTATCTATTTTATTTTACTACCTACTTCTAGGTACTTACCTACCTACAACCAACTTATTTTTTCGAGGATTTTGTCGGCTATCACGCTTTAAACTTTAAAGCATTATTAAAGAGACCTGTCAGCAGTAATAACTAAGAACTAAAATACCGCACTAATCTGCGGTTTCAGGTTTCATTTGTACAATGAATTTGTCACAACGGATGTTTAGTGCATAAATTAAATCCCATGATTCTAACAGTACATATTCCCTCGGCTGCCGGACTTCGACATCGGCAATCAGATCTTTTGACTGTAGTTTTGCACATTGCGAACCGAATGCGATTTTCCAAGTGGCAGAATTTTTACAAAGGAAGGATAGGCGTTATAGGGAACCCTCCAAAGAGACATATTCCGACAGAAAATTAATTGGAAAATTTTATAAAGGAGCAGGTTTCTAAGCACATTACTGAAATACATTCATTTAAAGAAATTCTTAATTTTTTAACCCCCCCCCCCCCCCCGATTAATTTTATTTTCAATTTGCCCAGTACTTAATACTTCTTAAAAAATCCTCTGTGGAGTAGAATACCGCTGCATCCACACAAAACACGTTTCATTTATGTGTAAGGCAACTATGTAACTAGGTTTATTTCAATAAATAAATAAATTAATTAATCCGCAATTCGCACCCTGTGTACCAGGCTCGATGACGACGGAACTGACCTTTGCAAAATTGCATTTCGTCCTGTCCCACGATTAACTGACGCCGCTAGCTTTTGCGCGAATTTAACTGACCAGGGCCGTAATTCAGGACCATTCGCCCACATACAAAATCGAACAAAAATTAGGTAATCCCGACAAACGACAAGACCACCCTTTATATCGTGTACGATTCAATCTAAAAAACTTGTTCTCCAGACTCCAAACCGGAAGAGACCTTCTGTGTGACTTAACTTCAACTACCAACTATAAAAAAAATGCTTTATGTTGTTTTCCATAATTTCAAGGTTTAAGGTATTATTATATGCTAAATTCCAAGTGCGCTAATATTGTCCGTTTATATTTCCTTATCGTGTTTTTTGTTGCAGTTTAGCTGATCGAACAATTAACGACTTAACGCAATATCCAGTATTTCCGTGGGTAGTAGCAGATTACAAAAGTAAAACTTTAGACTTAAACAATCCCGAAACATATCGTGACTTATCAAAACCAATTGGCGCATTAAACGCGGACCGACTACAAAAACTAATGGAACGATTCGAGGAAATGTCCTTTCCAAAATTCATTTACGGTTCTCACTATTCCACGCCGGCATTCGTTTTATTTTACTTAGTACGTTTCTATCCGCACTATGTGCTTTGCCTTCAGAATGGAAGATTTGATCATCCAGATCGTATGTTTAACTCTTGCGAGGACGTCTATAGGAATTGCCTAACGAATATGTCCGACTTCAAGGAGTTAATACCCGAGTTTTACGATGTCGAGCAAGGCGGCGAGTTTTTGGTAAATAGCATGGGAATTAATTTGGGAGTACGATTTGACGGCAGTAAAGTTGGAGACGTGCAATTGCCGCCGTGGGCTAATAGTCCAAAACATTTCATTAGAGCGTTGAGAGACGCGCTAGAATCGGACTACGTTTCCGAACGCTTGCATTTGTGGATTGATCTCATTTTTGGTTTCAAACAACGAGGAGATGAAGCGGAAGAAGCTAAAAATTGTAAGAAGCGTTAATTTTTTCTTGTATGACTAGATTGATTGTTTTAGTATTTTATTATTTGTGTTACGAGGGAAGCGTCGATTTGGATTCGATTGGAGATCTAAATAAAAGACGAGCTTTAGAGGTTCAAATAATGGAATTTGGCCAGATTCCAAAGCAGTTGTTCAAAGTTCCTCATCCGCAGAGAAAGGTTAAAGGTCCGATGTTGAGGGTACCGTCTGTCGATAAAGAATCAGAAAAGGTAAATGAAGGTAATGTATCTAGCGTCCTTTTTGTTCATTTTATGTTTTGTTGTATTATTTGTTGGTCGTCATTTCGCAGTGAAGTTAGCCTCATCTGGTCAAGAATGAATATTAGTTATTGTTTGTTTGGTCATGTGATAGGTATAATTTAACAGTGGCTAACTTGACACTACTCGACCCAATGGCCCACGCTGAGGACACTGCAAGAAAAATTTTGAATATTTGTTATGTTCATACTGATAGGTAAAGAAGGCACACGGAGCGGGTCAACAACCAGTTAGGTCAGACGGCCAAGATCCGGTCAGGTAAGATTCCTTATGGAGGAGGACACAGAGAGTTATCTGCTTGTGACTGGGGTCACAGAACCTTTTTATGGATGGAGCTACACAATTTTACCCTCTTTTTGTCTCTCTTGTTTCAAACCATACACATTTATATATAGCATTTATATATACAAATTGTGCAACTTCGTATTTACCAATCGCAAGCTTTTTGCCTCGTTAAATACCAACCACAATTACCCTACAAGAAATGCTAACGCACTCGCTGTTCCCTTTCATTCTACCGCAAAATTCGAAAGAGGACCACTGTACACTAGCTTCAAAATCTTCAATGTCCTACCAGCCTTCATTAAGGATTTGAAAAACACTGCTCAATTTAAAGCCGCCCTCAAAAGGTATTTGATAGCTGAGTGCTTTTACAAAGTATGTGATCTCAATTCTAATATATGATAACTATAGTATAGTCAATTATTACTCTGTGATAAATTTATTTGACTGTTTGTTTGTATGCATGTATGTTTTCCTTGTGATATATTTGACAATATTCGTTTAGATACAACTGGACAATGTCTATGTCAATGTTTTGTTGATCACCAGACAATAAATTATTATTATTATTATTATTATTTATCGACTAGTGGTGTTTTGTTAAATACTATGAGCAGGGGGTTACTACTAGCTGGGTTCGCGACGGTGGGAAAACGTGTGCGTGTCTTTATGCTATTTATTCCGGCTGTCCACCCGATTTGATTAGTTGAAGACCAAATAAGGGTTACAGACCTCTCTTTCTTCCCACAATTTTGTTTAATGTTCTTTTCATGTGTTTCGGAATAGAATTTTGTCATTGTCAATCAATGAATTGTGCGTTTATTCGAACCCATTGTGCGACCCAGATAGTTTTCATGTCAAATGTTTCTTCTCATGTCCAGAAATTGTGTTACGTTTTAATGAAAATGGGTGTGGTTAATTTTTTGGAATTCTCAAAAGTTGATCAAGGGTACTAAGTCTCCCAAATTATTGATTTAAGTCAATATTGGGATTTTTCGTTATAAAAATGTCCAAGTTACAATTTTGATCTGTTTGACCTACCTACCTATGGGTATTTTGTGTGTTTTGCACACAGCAATATTTTCCCTGATAATCCACAGTTTTCAGACTTATTAGCGACCCTGTATACAGGGTCATTCTTGACGAGCGTCAGTTAGAAAGATATGGAAAATCTTTGAAAATGAAGATAAACTGATAAGTTCTTTAAGGGTTATGACACATGATGAATTGAACTAAAATATTTTCAAGATGGCGCCACTTCCGGAAATACCGCAAGTAGCCATCAACTTTGTTATTTTAAATAGGGACCCCCCTATTTTTTCTACATTTTCGGATTCTACCTCGAATTTGGAGTACAACGATACCCCATAGTTGACCCTTTGCTCCAAGGGCTTCGCCGATATTCAAGTTTTTATGTCAAAAATTGTATTTACAGGGGTAATTTTAAAAATTTATTATTCGAAAACGGTGAGAGATATTGCAACACAGTTGTCAGTGATTTATTAAAGAAAGATCGAATTTTCTTATGAAATCCGGAAGTGGCGCCATCTTGAAAATATTTTAGTTCAATTCATCATGTGCCAAAACCCTTAAAGGACTTATCAGTGTAGTTTCATTTTCAAAGGTTTTCCATATCTTTCTAACTGACGCTCGTCAAGAATGACCCTGTATAGTCTTGCCTTTTTACAGAAACTTTTGATAAATTAGACAAACCGGAAAATAACCTTTGCTTATAGATTGGCCTGTCAAATCCACAACGATAAAATTTTTACGATGGGACGGTTACATCAAAAGATATCGTATCGTATCGACTGATAGGCGCATTTCTATCACTTTAGTAAAAAATAATTTTAATTATAATTTAATTTGGCTTATAATTTGAAGAAATTAATCAAGTCTTCACCAATGGCATTCAACATTTTTCCTATAAAATTTCTTTGAAAAAGACAATGTAGTGTGTAATATTTGATTTTTATTTAATAATGTACCCTAGGTCAGGGGTCGGCAACCTGCGGTACCTGAGTGTAAAATTACCTAATTTGTGACACTTGTTTGTCTTTTTTTATTATCACAGCCTACTCCGATATATAAACACAGCTTACTTAAGCTGTGGTATAAACATGTAATTAATTAATAAGAAAAAAACTTTAATAACCTAAAAATTATGAACTTTAAGCACAGGACACCTCGTATAAAAATTTAAGAGGACACAAAACACAATCGAATAGCGAAATAAAATAGTGGTAGTTAAAAATTTTAAAAATAATAGTTATGGTACTTTGAACAAATGACATTGAAACAAGTACAAATATTCAGGATGTTCTATTTAAAAAAGCATTTATTTATTGACACCGTAAAAATGGGACACGCTGTACATTCAAAAATAATTTCTGTAGATACAACCATCTATAGTTGACATTTGCACACAAGATTTTTTTAAAATCTTTGTTACCTGGTATAAGCTAGGAAAGACGGACGCACTGTTGCAGGGCCCTGTATATGATCAAATATTATAGTGTTGATTCGAAAATTTTTAGTGGCTCTTTAAAAACTGGGAAATTTTGCAAATTGTAACTGTTGGCTCTTCCGTTTCAATAGGTTGCCGACCCCTACTCTAGGTGAGGTGTGGGGAAGGGGACACACAAATTATCACAACCCAGGGCGTAACGTTTTGTTAATCTGCCTCTGATTCTACTGTTTATACAAAATGAATTAACGCAGTAACAGGGATCTGTACGGAATCCACGTAATTTTTAGACAGAAATGCACAAGGCAATTTTCAATATTAAAATAACTGTACCTGTAACCCGAAACGAATTTCTTTGTCTGTAAAGACCACCATATGGATAGTTTACGGTCCAAGTATTACCTCCTACACGTCAGACATCTGCTACTTCCGAAAATTCTAAATAATTTATTAAGTATATTTTTATCACTTACTGAAATAAAATCTTGGATACGAAAAGAAAAATCTGACAAAGAAAATTAAAGAACATCATTGAACTAAAGAGTACCCGTACACAGACAGTTGATAGATGAAATAAAAAATCTTAATATTACTTTTCTGTTTAATAATCTCAATAATCTGTTCGTTCAACGGTTTGAAGTCTCCCTTCTTTTTTCTAACTATAGGCGCACTTGTACGTAACACACGTGCATTATCAGATGTACATTTTCGTCTCATATCAAAAGTTCTTATCGCAAATGACCAGATGAGCCTACTTTTTAACACGCGTCAGTGGCGAATTTGACAACACCAAATACACTGAGGGCAAATATTCCGGAGCGGGTGGGGTCTAGGAGTGAAATTCTGTATACAGTACATGTACCCTATCCACTATAATACGGTTTTGCTTTAGCTTGGCTGGAAATACAATTCTTTCAAATTGAACAACTCTGTGTAATGTGTTGATTGGAAACATTAGGGCGCAGCCCATTCTAAAATAGATAATGGAAAATCTAATTTACATGACTAAAATGTACCTGAATCTCTTTCTTGGAAGCTTGATGCTTGGTTATCAAAATAATAGGTGACCTCGTGAAACCCGCGCTTTAAATTTGAACAGCACTTTGTTAGACGGTGATCGCATGCTTTAATTGTTGTAAAGAATTAGAGATGGCATGGCCATTTTACCAGTGTAACTAAAACAATGTAATTTATAGATTCAACAAGTGTATGGAAATCTGTAACATCTTTAAATTTGGAGTCAACATTCAACACTCATAAAGACTCGGTCAGTGCACTTTTAATAACAGACGACAACAATCAAATTATGTCGGTCGGATACGATGGAAAATTTAAAGTGTTTTCCATTTCGCAAAAGCGGCAGATACGAAGTGCCAATATTGGAAACATGCCTTTAAGTAGTATAATCCAACTTCCGAACACAAACGTAGTTGTGATTGGCAGTTTCGACAATAACATGTTTGTTATTGCCAATGTAGGTCCTTGCGGAGTTCTATTGATTATTACTTTGTAGAGTTTTGTACGATTTGGATTTCGGAAAAGTAATTCAAACTGTAATGGCCCATGAAGATTCTGTGACGTGTTTAGCGTGGGGGAACGAATTGAAGTTGCTTGCGTCTGGAAGTAGTGATTGTACTGTTAAGATTTGGAGAAGTTTTGCTAATAGTGACGTAATTAAACCCATGCAATGTCTTGAGAGCCAGCTGGATCATAATTCGCAGTTGACATGTTTGTGTTTCAGTCCGTATGTTACTTTTCGGCGGAATTAGTTTATGAAACACATGTGATATTTTTAGGGATAACAGTTTGTTAGCAACAGCAACTGATGATGGCGAAATTTACTTGTGGTCTATATCAACTAATTTATTGCGTAAGAAGTTCGTACTTCACAGTGGTGCTGTGAAGGCAATTAGTTTTAGTCCAGATGGACAAAAGCTAGTTTCTTGTGGATCTGATAAAGTATTTCAAGTCGTTGATATCGAGACTAGTATGGCATTATATAGTAAAACATTACCATCAGTATTGGTTTCTTTAAAGTGGCAAAATTTCATGTTATTATTAGGTTCGGCAGATGGTATTATATATATATGGGATATAGTTGAGGTGAAATTGTTACATCAAGAGAAAGCACATACCGGTACGTATTGAAACACTTACTTCACATTAATTCCTAATCTCAATAGGCGCAGTAAATGTTGTGGACATCGCCTCTGAGCAATCATTTGTTGTAACAGGTGGAGAAGATCACACGATCAAAATTTGGAAGCCTGTATAACAAGGCGATTGTTTGTGATTTAAAATGTGACGAAACTATTGTGATTTCTATTTAAATGAACTTATATTTTTAATATACGAAATATTCTTTTAGTATTTTAAAATGTTGTTGGTCCCTTTTGACAGTATTTAATGAATTGAATACAAACTAAAGAATGTTTCCTAATGAAACATATTATGCCTTATTTTTACGGTTTTTACCTGTGTATATTTATTCGCTTGGTCTTTATTTTTAAGTGGGCGGAGTTTCAGCCAAGGCTGCTCTACCAACCCAACCCGCTATATTTACAAATATATGCCTGAACCAGGGACTCTGAGTGCCGCAGTCGGGCTTGTAGCCCACTCGTCCACATAGGTTGGCTGCTATGGAAATTTCGTGAGAGTTAAACATATTTACAACTTTGAACAAAATGTAATTGTCTTGAGCAATTTGTTTATAGTTGGGCAACAATATACCTACTCTTATCCTTGCTCCATCCTCTAAAAAAAATTAAGAACTTATCTTGATCTTCTGTCAAGAAGAAACAAAACTGGAATTATAAGAAAATGTTTTTATGCGCCCGTGTATTTGACAAGATCTTCGATACCATGTTTGGTATTTCATTTAAGAACACCCTGTAGATCTACTGCCATTGTTTGCATCCTCAAATTTAGTGTAGTAAGATGAATCGTAATTGAAAATCCAAATGGATGCTATATGAATCAGATTAAAAGTTTTAAGTTTAACCCCGCAAACGGCACACAGTAGAATCAATCTAGCCACGTTTGTTTCTGATATACAGGGTGAAAACGAAAAGTTTGACTTTTTAGTCATGAACCAAAAATAAAAACCTCATTTTTTTAAGGTTTTTAGGCCATGGATTCATGGAGATTTTGTTTTGTTTATTGCATTCATTGTACCTAAAGCAACCAATACCAGACAATAAACTCACGGTAAAAACAAACATTTGAGAAATATGAAATAGTATATTACCACGGTAGAGAAGTCTATTATTGCCTTCGCACCTTATGCCCCTTGGCGCAAACGCCTCGAGATGTAATCTTGGTGCTCGACCCAGTAGCGTCAACCAATAACGAGGTAATTTTACATGATTAAACCTAAGCATGCTATAAAAAATTAATAGCTCAGTTCAAAATCAGTCTAGGCTATACCGTGTTCAAAATCAAACACATTACTCAAGCCTGTCATTCAATGTATCTTTTAATTAGAAAAATGATTATTAAACAATTTATAATAATACAAATTAAGTAAAAATTACTTCTTCTGCTTCTTCTTTTCAACTTCCTCCTCCTTTTCCTTTTCAATCATATTAACGTACTCCTCAATTGTGCTGCCATCAAGCATTTCTAAAGGTTGTCCGCGTCTCATAACTGCAATTTCAAGATTTTTCTGTCCAGATTGAACTACCTCCAGTAAAGCGTGAATCGCCAATTTTACGGTTCCCCGTTCAGTTGAGACTTCCTCCTCTGTGTAGTATTTCTCTAAAAACTCACGTACAGTTTTTGCAGAACGTCCCGTCGCGTTGGCCTTCCATTCATAATAGATACCAGACGGTTCGGTTTGGTAGAGATGCGGAGAACCATCATAATCGAAACCACCAATCAAGCATGACATACCGAAAGGGCGTCTACCATTGCTTTGTGTGTACTTTTGTTTCAAACTTGCAATGTAACGAGTGATATATTCCAAAGTGACGGGGTCTTCGACAGTTAATCTGTGAGATTGGCATTCTATTTGTGCACGATTAATTAAGATTCTCGCGTCCGCTGTAAGTCCAGCGAAAGCCATTACTACGTGGTCATCTAATAAACAAATTTTTCGTACGGTACGTTCTTCCTGCAATTTGGCTACAGATTTCTTTTCGACTCCTAGTACTACAACATCTTTTCCACGTACTCCTACCTGTACAACAACTTTTAATCACGGGGGCCTAAGTTACTTGTACATACCGCAGTTGATCCTTTCCTGACGGCTTCTTGAGCATATTCCACTTGCAGTAAATGCCCGTCGGGGGAAAAAACTGTGATAGCGCGATCGTATCTGGCCGACATTTTTAATATTAAATGTTAAACGTAATTATTTGATTTAAAGAACAGAAATCGGCACAAACGAATATGAGATTTTGGTCAATATAACCTCAATTTATTTTGCTGGGTAATGTTTTCAATCAACCAATAGGAAAAGACTTGAATTGAACGTCAGGTTGCATTCTATTCTACCATATATTTGATTGCATTCAATGTGAAATATGCGATTGTTTGGTCGTCTCTTGGAAAGACACAAAATTTCGATTTGAACTTTGAGCTTCTGAGGATCAGCGCTGCGTGGTGGGTAATAAATTTGTGACATAATTTTAGTTTCGGAAAATCAAGGGAGCCTTTGAAATTTGCATACAAGTAAAGTGCTCATTTTGGAGAGGAGATACGTATAAATGTTATTAACAAAAGTTGATCAGCATGAAGAACCGAATACATTTTTTTTTGTTTTTTAATTTTTAACTGGATTTTTTAGGAGATAAAAAAAATCTTACGTAAAAACAACTGTTCAATTGAATGTAAGCAAATTTGAAGCCGATAGGAACACTTCAATGTTTCCTTTAACATATTCAATTTAATGTACATAGGCAAATTAAGGAATTAAATATCAACTTGCTCTATCAGTTTCAAATGTAGTACAAGGCATTACATTCTATTTTGAACAGTTTTTTGAATAACATTTTTCGGACCTGAAAAATTCTATTAAAAAATAAAAATATAAAAAATTCAAAGTAGGCCTAGGACTTTGCAATTGTGCACGTTGACTAAGCTTTATATTCTGAACAACTTTTCTTAAAAAGATTTGTGCGTATCTCGTCCCCAAACTGGTGTGAAAAAAGTCATGTCCTGTCCTATAAAAATTGCATGCAAGTCTCTTACAGCAATTGATCATCTGGCTTTGAACTCCGCATGCTTTTCGCAATTTATCTTGGCAACTTGTATGCAATTGCTCCATGTCAAGCAGTGTTCTCTTCATATTCTGACGAGTTGTAAGGAGAATACATGAATGCTTCCAAAGCGTGCTGTCAATTTTTGATTGGTCATCAAAAAGTCAAAAGTTTTTTAACCTCTTCATCGGAACACAAACAAATAACCTTATCACCAAATTGGTAGGTTGACGTGGTTTATGTTTTTGATATATTCGTTTTCATGAACAGTATACAAAAAATGAGGAGTTGAATACTCGGTTAATTAAATATTGTGATTTTGCCATTTATTAAAGAATGAAGGCTGTTAAATTGTATCTCGGTGTGGCAATTTATCTTCTCGTAGTGGTTAGTTTAAGTGCACATTCCCATAGTCATTCACATCAGGACGACCATCATGACCACCACCATGATGAATCTCCATCCTTTAAGTATTCAAGAGCGGCTAACGAAAAACCTTCTCAGCATCATGCCGAAAAGAAGATCGTTTCAACTCCAAACATTTGGTTGTACGCCATGGGTTCGACATTATTCATAAGTGCAGCGCCTGTGCTAATTCTACTAGTAGTTCCTTTAGATAATACAGACCAAAGCCAACCGTTACTTAAAATTTTATTAGCGTTTGCGTCTGGTGGCTTGTTGGGTGATGCGTTTTTACATTTGATACCTCATGCTAATATGGCAATAGAAAGCAGTAAAGGTAGCCATTCACACTCTCACAGTCACGGAGGAGGCGAACACGAAGGTGGACATGACATGTCGGTCGGTTTAGGTGTTCTGCTTGGGATTGTCGTATTTTTGGTGGTAGAAAAAGGGGTGCGCTTCGTTAAAGGTGGCCATGGTCATTCACATACCGAGGTAAAACAGAAAGCATCAGATGGTGACACTTCCGGTGATGAGAAGAAGGACGAAGTTAAGGAAGTGCTAAGTTCGAAGGATAACGAAATTAAAGTGGCGGGTTATTTAAATTTGGCCGCAGATTTTAGTCATAATTTTACTGATGGTCTGGCAATCGGTGCTTCGTATATTGCGGGACAGAGCGTTGGAATTCTTACGACTATTACGATTTTATTGCACGAGGTACCACACGAGATTGGAGACTTTGCGATTTTAGTTCAATCGGGAGTTTCGCGCAAGAATGCCATGCTTCTACAGCTTTCAACTGCGATCGGCGCACTTGCCGGTACTGCTCTGTCTTTATTGGCACAAGACAGTTACGACATGTTCGCAGCTCATTGGGTTCTTCCTTTCACTGCGGGCGGTTTTATTTATATTGCTCTGGTGTCCGTAATTCCAGAATTGCTGGAAGAAGAAAAACCTAGTCTTTTACAAACATTTTTGCAATTGCTAGCTATGTTATGCGGTGTGTATATGATGGTGAAGATTGCAGAATATGAATAATCCTAGATCAACGTAATTTACAATTTTATTATAGCATATTATAGCTAAAGTGAAAAGCATGTACAATTAAAATATTTTCTTAAATTGAGTTTTCTTAAATTAAGTATAGTAAACTCCTTTATCCACGGAATTGACTGGTGCGGAAAATTGCCGATAGAAGTTAAACAATGGCAGAAAGGTACTAAAAACAAAAGGTGCAATAGAGCTCTTCCGCAAGTATGGAAGTTCTGCATATTTTTTCACATCCCCTATTTTATAACGAAAGTATACCAGGAATTTTTCAAATACGGCAAGGTACGCCCTGATTGGCCGAACGGAACGTCGCGGAAGGTTAATAGGTAGGTTGCCTCGTAACTTTCAGCCAATAAACGTTCAGTATTAAAATACGCGAATGACGTCACCCAGAATCCCATTTTTGTCCACATCATAAAAATTAATTATTAACGCAACAACAACAGAGCAAGTTCAAAAAATGCAAAATGGATCGAAATGGTACTTTACATCGATGTGCTGAAAAGTTCCTGCATTGAATAGAAAGAAACATGCTGGCGAAAACGCACTTTATTCAAAATAGCTTACATTTCATCTTCATAGTCGTCGGCCGGGAAATGCAGACTGCACAGTCTATTGCATACGGGGTTCAGGTTCCCCTTTCCATTGCACTTTATAACCCATTCTTTTTGTAATACAGGAATTACCTTTTGGAAAAGCAAAAAACTGAATCTCCGATCCATTTGCTTTCGATTTGTTGGAGCTGCTATTGCATATAACGTCACAATCCATCCGGCATCTGATACCCTATATTGATTACTTAAGTATCCAACAGTAAAAGTATTCAATCGACATATTATAAGTACCTATTCGTAATAGAATCTTCAGCACTGCCTGACAATTAAGTACTTAACAGTTCAAATATAACTGTCAAAGTCAACGAAAATTTAAAGACCAATCAAATGGGACTTCCCGATTCTCGATGACGCGTCTCTCTAAAGTTACGAGGCAACCTACTCTCTCTACTAACCTTGGTCAAACCCGCGCGATTTGTTTGTCTATTTTTACCATTCTGTATACTCTGTAACTGGAACGGCATCGATAACCAAAATCGCATGCCACCTAACGTAGACTGTGGTAGGTATCATCATCCTTGTCTGGCACATTGTTTTGTAAAACGCATAAACAACATGTGAGAGATATACCCGCCTCATTGACCTAGATACTCGTAACTGGACTGGCATCGCACGTAAACAAATATTGCAAGGGCGCCGTGATAAGAGAGATGGGTACTTATCGTGTTTCACTCACGTAGCGTTTTCCTGCATTTGCTTTCCCGTAGATACCGCTACCGAATCTGATTAGGTATTTATTTATTCCGCTTAGGGAAATTGCTGTGCGCTTTAATTTTGTTTTAGCATTCACCAGTAACCGTCCGCCATTATTGTTATTAGTGCATTGAGTCAATCAAAAGCGATTTCTTTGGTTTGAACAAAACTTTCTATCTGTCTCTTTGTCGATGCCTGATGGATTGTAAGGAGTTGTTAATTTAATTAACTAATTCCCTTTTGTTTCAAGAAGTTTTTGCGAATGATATGCAGCAATTATTAAAGTAAACTTCTCGAATGTTTTATTTTATCAAATTAATAGAGTAGAACCATGCGAAAAAGCTCTGGTGCAACGTGACGAGATTTGACTATGAAAGGAGATATAATGTAGCAGTTCAGGACAATCAATTTGAATATACAAGAACTTTTAGAATCAAGAAAGGTGGACAAGAACCATATACAGTAGAAATGTTATGATTAACAAAAATATATATTATTATAATTTATAACATAGCAACAATGAAACATTATTTTCCTATATTCAGTTTAATTTGTTCAAGACAGTAATTCGCCTGCGATATTGATTCTGCATTTTCATGTCGATTACCTAGCTCTAGTCCAATATTACAATACTTTGCAGCTTGCTCTACTAATCCCCGTTGTAAGTATACAAGTCCCAAGTTTGCGTTTATAACACCGACGTGCGATTTATCTCCTAGATTATTACCAATCGAAGCTGCTTTACTTAAACACTCCTCCGCATCCGCCAAATTGTCAGTACGCCAATTACTAATACCGATATCATTCAATAACAACATGCTTTGTTCATTCTCGTGTCCGGTTTCTTGCACGCAAATCCTATACGCTTCCTTTAAATGCTTGATCGAGTTTGGCATGTCGCCGGTATCCATTAAAAATTGCGCGTACCAATCGTGAATGACTCCATGAAGCATTTGTGCATCGGCACCGCCGTTCTGTTTCTCAACAATTTTCTCCAGGCACCAATTGTAACCTATATCTGCCTTCTCATTCTCAGCTTTTAGATGGCAAATTCGTGCGAGCTTCAAGCTGATGTGGATAACCTAAAAGTGCAACCACTTATCTTTGCCAGCTGCATTATACTTACTTTCAAATCGTTCTGTTCCATTCCCGTACTTAAAAGTCGCTGCAGCACGCTTATAAATAACTTCTCCGCTTTGCTCAGGTCATACTGATCGAATGCGAGGTTAGCCATTAAATCGTAGCAGTAGGTTATTCCATTTTCGTTCTGCTGTTGTTGAGCTAACCGTAACGCAACGTGCAGTAGCTGTTCTGCTATGTCATACTGTTCCCTTCGTGTCGCTAATATTGCGCGTTTTATTGTCATTATTAACTCGGATTCCTCATCCTTGTCAGTATCGACAAAACCTAACCAAGTCAAGACGTTCAGCGCTATCACTGCCTTCAATGGTTTTTTATTGCAAATATTTGCAATTCTTCGTAAGGTTTGAGTATTATAATTCATAGACGATGACCGTAGAGGTATCCAAGGAATCCTGTAGTTTTTGTATAGCTTGCAGTAATTACACAATTTAAACATCTTTTGATTATTATTTTCAAATTTCTATTACATAACCTAAACAATTTGTACATCGTCATTTGTCATACACATCAAACTTGTTGAGTCACTTTGGATACAGATACATACAACATACCGTGCACTATACATACAAGAAGATTATTGCTTAGGCCTAGTTGTACAATGTCAGTTTAAACTTCAGATTAGTTTAACTGACAGATTTCAGAAACACGATTGGTCAACTTGTGAAACATTGGCCAATCAAATCCTTTAACTCACAATTTAACCATAAACTGAAGTTTAAATTGACATATTGTACCACTGGGCCTTAGACTTAGGAAGGAGGAGACCGTAATACTACGGTAATACCGAATCACATGCAATGCTGCGGGTTGAAGCAAATTTTCGCATAGCTTAGTGGCATGGCAAACAAAGCTTCTATTTATTTATATCGTGCAGCCATTATTGCAATGTCTAAAAATTGCTTCACTTTACGAACATCTTTTATAGACAAAACGTCTCGCAAATCGATTCAAAGAGTATGGTTTCGGCAAAGAAATTCTAGAAAAAATTGTAAAGTGCCTCATTCAAAATTCGGTAAATATCATTAATAATCATTTATACTCCTGTGTCTTAAAATAGGCATCAACTTGTTACCATAATAAGCAGGCATTTATTTAGTAAATAAAGTTTCTCTCTCTCTATATTTCCTTCTCTAGGGTTATTGTGATTACAGTTTTGATTTGAACCATTGACATTAGAGATGTAACGGGAGCTTCGGTTCCGATTCCGAAAGAGTGGAACTTTCGATTCCGGATTCCGATTTCGGTTTCGACAAATTTTAATCGGATCCGGATGTTATATCGGAGGTTGATGGACAGGGTCGGTGCGGCCACAATTAGTACGTTCGCGTACAAATAAGTTTATACTTGACGCGCGGCGAACCTTCCTCACCTTGTGCCTTCGGTTGACTAGGTACCTTTTCACTTATTGTTGTGTTCTTTAAGTATAATTTGCTTCTTTTCGAGTCACTTTATCTATTTACATATTTTGTATTGTTTAAGATGTGACATATGTCTCTTCTTTACGGTTCCGATTCCGGTTCCCATAAACCAAATTTAAAAACTCCGATTCCGAATTCGATTCCGATATAACCACTTCCGTTACATCCCAAATTGACATATAGAGAAAGCACCGATACTGCAGGTGAGAGAGAGGGAAAAATGAAGAACCAAGCTCTCTCTTACGGTTACGCATCTTATTATGGTTCTTCAATTTAATTTGAATGCGATCGACAGAAACCCGATAGAAAGAGCATGCCTGTTAGTTTTCCCTTCTCTCTCACCTGCAGTATCCGCGCTTAGCATTTTGGCACGCGCAGTCCTATAGGTTGATGCTATGTACACAAAAGCTGACCTGTAATTTTCTTTTATTAAGCGGCAGAGCAAAGGGATGCAAGCTTTATAGGGGAATCGATGGTGTCCGTGAACATGATAACTGTCAAACGCTTGGACCGATTTGGTTCAAACTTTGTACAGTTGACCTATATGCCACAAGTAATAAGCCTATTGAAAATGGGCCAAATCCAATGCCCCCGTGGGGTCACGCCTCTCTGTCCCTGCCAAACGCTTGAACCTTTTCGGTTGAAACTTTGCACAGTATACTTACATGGGACATGTAACAAGTCTATTGAAACTGGGTCAAATCCAAATATGGTCATGGTCACCATACTTTCAGGAAATTATTACTGCTTCCTGGAACGGACCGACTATAGACTTCTCTCTGGTTGTTTCTTCGATGTGGAATCGAAATTGGCTTTTCAAGTGGTTTCTGCACGGACCGATTATAGAATCCTCGTTGATGTTCCGTCGTGCAAAGGTTTAACTTTCTGGCTTACTTCATTGGAAATTCTGCGAATATCTTTGTCCGCAGCGCGAAGATAACTTGATGTAGCCGCTGCTCGCCAGACTTTCTTCGCCATTAGCTTAATGGACCGATTGGTATGAATTACGCGGCGCGCTCTGCCGCCTTCCCACTGAGGTACCTTTATTGTACCTCTTATCTTCATAAACGCTTATCTTAACGATGGATCATATAAATATCTACTTTGCGAAATTGTAGGGTGTGTTGCCTAACCGTGGGGGTAGGTTCCCACACGTTGTTCACCCAAGCTATTCCAACTAGAGGTTTTTACCTGTAACGGTGTAAGAGGTATGACTGAGAGGTGAACCTATTTTATAATCTTTGATACTGTTTGATCCGCTTATTCGTATTTGAAAAAGGGAGCGCGACCCCTTTATTCATTTGTAAGATCATGTAACCCACAGCATCTTATTTTATCAATGCGATGTAATTCACAATCTTTTTCTCATATGTAGTCTCTAGTGGGCGTTGGTCATTCATCAACATCAGGTGTGTTTTGCTGATGTCAAATTTGATGTAATAGACTAAATTCAAAAAATTGATATATCTCAAAATTATGGGTAAAGTTCTCGCGATTGCATCAGCATGCGCCCTCAATGTCTGTGGAACTTACGTTTTTCGAACTCCCGTTAACTTAGAGTGTATCCCATATCCGTCCTATTTACTGTTCCTGGTGGCAGTCTTCTATTTACTTTGGAACATCCCGTTAAATCCCTATCCGTCTTGCTTTCGTGGGCTTATAAAACCATTTAGCTTGGTTATAGAGGTAAGCAAAGCGCGCAGGTATTTTGCAATTACGTAGGTATTTAATGGAACCTTTTTACTTTAGTTTATGGTTTCGGTCTTATTGGTTGAAGTACTTATGGCTGATTTTTGGTGTCCATTGCATATGAAGTTTGTAGCTTTTATACCCACAATACCAGATCATGTAAGGGACCTTATGATGTCAATTGATGTAGATTCGTACTATGTCACTAATGGTTTGGATGTTCTAAAGTCAGAATCGGCTTTAGTCGCAAGCAGCTATGCACTAAGTGTATTTTTGTTATTATGCATGTTACATTCATGTAGAGCTCTAGACTTTAGACTACTCAAGTAAGGTCATTAATATATGCAGGTTTCAATTGTAAGCTCTTGTCTTTTGCAGGAGCGGCGTAGGCGCGTTTGCAGCAGACGTTAACAAAAGAACAATGAGATTTTTAAAAAGTATAGTGCCTTTTCTACCTCCCTCTAATGAAGCGCGCGGATTTGGTAGATCGTGGAAAAGAGATTCCGATTCTGATTTTTCCGATATAATGTAATGTGTTGTAATCCGTGAAAACTAATTTTGGCTCTAAAATTCACAAATGTACATAAAATATACTGAAAAGAAAGATAGATGTTGCAGTGTTTTAGCGAATGTCTGCGTATCTCTGAAATTGATTCACAAATCAATGACGCAGGGCCACAGACTCCTCATTTCAAGTGTACTTATCTTCTCATGAGAAACTACCTATACATGTCATTGTAATCACGGATCTGTGCCCCTAGTTGTGAATCAATTTCAAACGAGTTTTGTATAGACTTTTCATACTTGCTATGTATATATTGCAGTGTTCCGGCATACATATAGCTAGGTCTCAAATTGATTCACAAATCAATTGTGCAGGGGCGCAGATCGGTGACTACAATTCTAAGTATCACTAGGTGGCTACTACTCTAAACGACAATCCACAATTTATCACTAGCAACTGAATCTAGCCTTTCCTTAATTTCTCGTCGACTCGCAGCGTGCAACAATCCTATCGTCTTGCGACTTATTGCGACACCGAGTACCGAATGCAACGCTCAACCTGGTGCAGGTTGGGAGCTTGGGATTGATCTGGAACCTGGGATGAAGACGTGTTGCGCTATGGGTGAGATAAAAAGGGGATTGCAGTGTGTTGTTGGACTTGCTTCCTTCTACAAACATTGGAAGATAACATACAAAAAACGTCATCCAAAGGCCAACTACTCCCTGATAAATTCTTAGAAGAAAAGGTCTCCGACGGAAGGATCCACTTTACAGTCTATATCATTATATCGCTTCACGAAGTATTGTAACAGCCAGGGGTAACCATCTCGAACCTGTTTTTTTATCTACATCGCCATCCATAGATATCCTTATTTTATTTATGTAAATTTTGGTGGACGTTTAAAAATTCTCAAATAAAATTCGAATTTAATCGTTCTTAAATATAGCAATCTTTGGACAAATTAAAGTCGTTTGTATTGCATGTATTTGAGTGAAATAGAAAGGTGCTGTTGCAGCCACATTTATTAAAAAAGGAACAGGAACTTGATCTAAACGATAAGATATCGTGATAAGAATGGTTCACTTATTTCTGGATGATATATATGGGTAACTAGATTTTCTCCCGCGACTTCGCACGCTCGATTGACAGATATATGACCCGACCCATGAACCCATGAGGCCATGAACCCCAGAATGTAAAAAATGTGAACATATCGACACGGTACGACGCAAGTTAGTTGGCGCATGCATCGATTGATACGCGAAATAGCAGAGGGCGACATAATCGAAAAAAAAAGTTAAAAAAATCCCATAATCCGATCGAGATCATCGAGGCCAATTATGAATCTAAACCATCCGGGAACACACAGAGACTGTAACAGGTGTCCGCTTTGCCATGTTAAAGAATTTTTTTCGAATTTACAAATTTGACAGTATATTTATTCATTTATTTACGGTTGACTAGGGAATGCAATCCCGCAGCAAAATCTTAATCCCGGTAAATGCGGGATTGTTAGATGTTAATCCCGCGGGATCTCGGTATTTGCGGGATCCCGCAAAACTACATAAATTGGCAAATAAGCAATTCTGTGCGGTTAACTTCTGTATTAAAATAATTCGCTAATTATCACAATATTTAACAAAAAAGTACCTTCAGCCTAACTTAGAACTCAAAAAAACCTCACCTGTAAAGCACAAAAAGGTGAACTTCTAAAGTGCCTCCATAATCATAGTACATTTTTAACGAAAAAAGTTTAATTTATTATTTAAAAAATAACTTCTCCGTTATGCGTTTCATTAACAAAGTAAACAGAGTTGTCTCCTTGGTCGAAAAATTCCTCAGTCCCGCAAATTCCGCGGTACCCCGCTCCATTTATGTGCGGGATCAATCCCGCAAAAATGCTGCGGGATCCCGGTATTTCGGGATCCCGTGATCCCTACGGTTGACCATTACAACAAAAGAAAAATATATAGGAATTAATACATATATTTAAGTAAAATGAAACGTGAAGAGGTGCGTAAATGAAACAACTATATACTAACTTAACGTGCCATTTATAAGATAGAAATAGATATATAAGATAGAAACAATATATGAAGTGTTATGTATTAGAAAACTAAATAACTACATAAAACTAACTCAAACGATATACAAGATGGAAATACTAAAACTAAATATTCTTACTCCAAGAGAGATCGATTTTCTATAAATAATAATTTTTTAAACAAAGATAGGTAAACCAAAAAAACTAAAATTCTTGCAAAGAGGGTTGGCTCCTAGAAATGCCAGATGATTGTCTCTAGCTGGTTTATATTTCTTAATAAGTATGGACAGTTTATAATAAACACACATCATATAGGAAATTTTATACGTGTAGCACTTCATAGTGAAAGAGAACGAAATTAAAATGCGATAGTATCAAGCGTTTTCAGAGAAGAAGAGAGTGTGCCAGATAAGACTCAAAACGTCACAGTGTTGCCGGTTCTAAAGATCGTTCTTACGGAGCATGAGGGACGGACTTTCTGCTATATGCTTACATGTATAAAAAACGTAGGAGCTTTGCTTTTTCGTCGGGTCCGTTTCGGTTTTTTGACTCAGAGGTAAATTATTCCAGTGAGTAAACAAAAATCACTTTCAACAAGTTGCCAAAATTTATCTAGCGATACATAACGTCCACGTTGTATTACACAAGGAGCGAATCGACTGTAATTTGGGGAAAACTCATCGATAAAGGAAGTTATTTGACATTTTTGTATTGTATAAAAACAAGAGTCGATCGTTTTCGAGATTTTCGATGCTCAAAGTCATATTTACATTCCTGAAGAGGTCGACCCATGGAATTTTCTTCCGTAAACAGATTTGTATTTTTTTTACGAATGACAAGCAAACCCAAACAAAAGATTTGGGTAATTTTTTCTGATTGATTGTAAGGTGGAGTTTTAAGATCATTGATTAGGATTTGTGTACGTTAAATTTTCTTTAGCCTTCAGAGATGTGTAAACCTTTTGAATAAGAAAATGCAATAGGCTTTGAATTAATTATAAATATTAAAAAATTTAGATAATTAATTAGATTTTAAACGCGATCATGAGAGAGGAATTGAAATTTTATTTTGTATTTCTTGTATAAATTACATCAATATTTTAAATCACGAAAAATGTAAAGAAAAGGGGCGGCGGGCGAGACGAGATCTCTATCTTACCTCGCTCCTTAGCAGGTTAAGGTCAAGTAGCGTTCTGTAGCCTACACCTAATTTCCGCTTCAGCACTGAAGCCAGAAGGTAAAACCCCGTTTAGGGACGATACAAATGCCGCAGGTGACACCGCAGACCTCCCTTTCCGTAATCAGCTCGCTGCCGCCGACACCCATCAAGGCCCGACTGACCGAACGCTGGACACTGGTCCCGATAAGCAACCCATCGACTCCGTACAGTAACATCTATCCTACGACGATATTGCTCAACGACCCACGGAGATACTCCATCCCACAACAATACCGCAGAGCTGACGACGACCGAAAATTGTAAATTTTATTATATATTATGTTTCCGTTTCTTTTTGTAAATAAATATCTATATGGTGATCCAAATAAACGAACATGTTTAAGAACACAGCACAACCACCAAGGAGTCATTAAAAGTTTATTTATTACTGAGCTAGCCGTGGATTTCATTATTTCACTACAAAAAATGGTTACAGTATATTTATTACCAGTGCCGTAGAGATTAAAATTTATTTTATGCAAGCCATTACAAGACACTCAAATCGATTTCATATAGTCTCTATCCAATCCACTTCCTTGTGTTACTAGATGCAAAGTACTAACGTCCAGACTAACAATATTTTGTTCTTATTGCAAAGAGCATAGGTATATACCTATGCTCGTTTTGTAGTTCCCTAATAAAATTGACCAAAGGTCTTTGAGTAGCGATTACTAACGCCTAACACTCCATCGAGTAACAAAGACCACAACACTTATCGTATTGACTGAAGTGCAAATTGCTGTTTTTCGTAGTGAAATTGGTACCTAACAAATCTGGAATTTCGGAAACTTAATGATAGCGACAAGAACAAAATATGATGGAGGTAAGTAGGTACGTCGATAGTGTGGAGTGGAGAAATACTTGAATATTGAGTGGTTGGTGAACTTGGCCATGACTAATGCTACCGAAATGAAGCTTAGCATAAGAAATAAATTTAATTAAGTCAAAAACTGGATGTGGGAGAAGAATGTTTTAAACATGATTCTATGTATCACGATTGCGTTGGAAGGATTCTATAAATTTTCATGCTCGCTTAAAGTACCTATGTGGTATTCGGAAAAATGTGTGTTAAGGAGAAATAAGATCCAACCTTGTTCTTTTGGGTATCTGACCATAACGTATACCTTGAGTTGTTTAAATAAACTAGGTACGTGATAGTTGTTGAGGAAGGGGAGAAAACGTTTAATTTGTTAGAACAGTAGCGAAGTATATCCACTTTAGTTCTATTGAAATGGAAATAAACTCGGTCAGTCGACTTTTCCTACTTGTTGCACGAGAGCACTCTGTTGCCTTGGAAACGTCACCCGCAGTTGAAAAACTGGAGAGCTTAACAATCAGCGATCAATCCGCGCGATATGATTTGACTTTAATGAAGCCAATTTATCCAGAATAAATTTATTACGTATTCAAACGTAAAAAATGATCGGTGAACTGGAGTTGCTCTTGTATATTTTTCTACAACGGCATCGATTCATCGAAGCAGTTACTTAAAGTTGAATATCGCTGGGTCATATCCCGATCCAATTAAATAATTAACTCAAGTTATTTAAATCCGTCCGCAAATCAAACTAATCAGCGAATGCCAAATAGTAATAAAAAGTACCTAGGGGTGATAGGTGCACTCCTACTAATATTTATATTCCCCCTCAATCAGTGACAGTGTTGATCTGATATAAGTAGTATTGAATTGAATGAATTAATTGAATTTATTTATTTACATTTCCTCGATTACTGCCAACAAGTTTAGCATACAGAGCAAAAACAAATTTTTACTTTCATGTTACATTGTAACGGGAACCCATTACGGATTTGAATATTTCG